TTTGTGAACTCGAGATGAATGATGAGCAAGAAGTCAACATTTCCCTAAATTCCCCTTCAACTCTTCATCGAAATGTGGTGAATTAGCAATGAGTCGATCCCCTCGTTTCCCCTCCTTTTCCCTTTTTCTTTTCCCTTCTCTTTCTTTTCATCAATCCACACAGCCTGGCGCGATCATTTGACTTGCTAATCAAGAAAATATCGGGACTTTTTCCCCATCCATCCACCCATTCACATACAATAAAAGTTTTGCGTTTATTTGTACGAATTTTGGCATTGTTTTACTTGTGCTTTGTTTTATTTACCTCTTAAAAACCAAATTTTTTCAAATCGATAGTCAATTGAGACAAATCAGCGCCGTAAACGATTTATAGAAATCGATTTTTGCAAAAACGGATAGCAGATTCGGAATCAGCGTAAAATTCTGCGTCAAATCGTCTATGACTCATCTCATTTGGCCACATCCTACTGTTGCCTTTCCATTCTTGGTTCCAGTGGCCAAGTACCATTCTTGGTTCCAGTGGCCAAGTAGTAGCAGTACCAATGTCTAAAAATGTTAGGCTAAAAAAAGGCTAGTACTGTAGTGGAACTAGTGCTATGACATTATCGTACAAAGCGCTGCCAATATTATGTCAAGCTACAAGGTTAATTCTAGTAGTATTAGTACCAATATCTTGTTAGGCTAGTACCAGTATTGCAAGTGCAATGCAAGTACTAACCCCTATCAGGGCATTAGTATTACCCTGAGCCTTAGTATTACCCTAGTATTACCCTGAGCCTTAGTATTACCCTAGTATTACCCTGAGCCTACGGTAGCTTTCTTCAAAGAAACTATCAAAATGCTAGGAACTATCAAAATGCTAGCCTGGCTATGAGCTACCAGTCCTATTTCTGAAACCAGTATCGTAGCGCTTTAAGTCTTACGTCGCATCCCTTTTTGCGATTTCACAAAAACTTTTTTAACTAGCGTTCTAGTTTCTTTTTTAGTAGAAAGAGTGTAGCCGAAAACCCTAAACAAACACTTTATAAGGTCTACGGTAGCTTTCAAAAAGTTTAAAAATAAAACGAATAAATAACCGCTATTTTTGGGCAGTATTTTGCTGAATTAAAAAAACTATTGGCAACATGAATTAACAGCAAAAACATTAAAAGCAAAAAAAATAGTAATCTGTTACTCCACCTGAGCGATTAATTACTTGAAAAATACGATTCTTTATCGAGGTTTCGAAGTGCAGAAGCATCGAGGTTATTCCAGGTCATTTGAATCGCTGCTTTGAGAGCAGAAACGTTGAAATATTGCCTGTTGTGCTTGTAGCCTTGTGCTGGTTGTGCTTATAGTCTTGTGCTGGTTGTGCTTGTAGCCTTGTGCTGGTTGTGCCTCCAGCCTTCTGCCGGTTGTGCTTGTAGCCTTGTGCCGGTTGTGCCTCTAGCCTTCTGCTGGTTGTGCTTGTAGCCTTCTGCCGGTTGTGCTTGTAGCCTTGTGCCGGTTGTGCTTGTAGCCTTGTGCCGGTTGTGCCTCTAGCCTTCTGCTGGTTGTGCTTGTAGCCTTCTGCCGGTTGTGCTTGTAGCCTTGTGCCGGTTGTGCCTCTAGCCTTCTGCCGGTTGTGCTTGTAGCCTTCTGCCGGTTGTGCTTGTAGCCTTGTGCCGGTTGTGCTTGTAGCCTTGTGCCGGTCGTGCTTGTAGCCTTGTGCCGGTTGTGCTTGTAGCCTTGTGCTGGTTGTGCCTCTAGCCTTCTGCCGGTTGTGCTTGTAGCCTTGTGCCGGTTGTGCTTGTAGCCTTCTGCCGGTTGTGCTTGGACAATGATGACAATACGCCCAATTCCTCTAATCGATTTCTTATGTTGCAAGTGCATGTCGATTTGTCCTTTTTCTCTGTCAGCTGGTTAGCTGGAGTCATTGTATCTAAATGATATCATCATAAACCAATCAATAACTTCTTCTTGCGATAATTGAAAGGATCCTTCAAGAAATTTGCGACAACTTGGTGCGAGCGCTTTATTTTCTTTGCGATCTTCCGATTTGACAACTTCATATCATAAACCAATCAATAAATTATTATAAGTAAATATAAACAAAAAAACAAAAACAGTAACAAAACCAATCTAAAATGATAAAAACTGTTTGAAAGCAAGATGCCAAGACTTGAAACGGTTAAAATTTATCAATTTATTATTAAAATTTATTCGTTTTATTTTTGGAAACTGATCGTAGCCCTATGGAGCGTTTTTAGGGTTTTCGGCTACGCTCTTTCTAATAAAAAAGAAACCAAAACGCTAGTTAAAACAGTTTTTGTAGAAAGGGAGCAAAAAGGGGGTGCAAAAAAAACGGAGCAAAAAGGGGATGCAAAAAAACGGCGCAAAAAGGGGATGCAAAAAAACGGCGCAAAAAGGGGATGCAAAAAAAAACAGCGCGCTGTTTTTTTTTTAAATAAAGCTGCAGCGCAAAAGGGGGCGCGGCGCAAGACTTAAAACGCACTGTACTATGCTATATTTTAGCTATAAAGCTATCAATATTTAGCTATCAAATTTACCTATCAAATTTACCTATCAATATTTAGCTCTAAACTCTTAACTGAACTCTCTCAAAGTCCGCAAGAATCTCTGGGTCTCTCAGTCTTCACGTATCTCTTCTCTTTACAAAATCGATAATGACTGCGAGGGGGTGATGGGGAAAAGGGGAAAGATGAACAAAACAGAGAAATATAAAGGGAATTCGAGAGACTGAGAAAGGGAAGATTTAGAGTGGATAGGGGAGCCATATGGAGACTCTTTTCTCGTCTCTCGACGCCTTCCTCACCCACTGGGCGACACACGGACACCCTGCTCCTTTTCTACGCCTATTCACCCCTAACTATAGGAGAAACTGTATGATTTCTATAGTTTATCTTATTTTTGCACCTTTGTCAAGTTCTGGATTCTGGATCTGGATCTGGATCTGGATCTGGATCTGGATCTGGATCTGGATCTGGATCTGGATTCTGGATCTGGATCTGGATTCCGTTAAAGAGCATCTGTTTTGCATAGCTTATCTATTAGCTTGGTGAACAAGTTCACTTTTTTTTTGCTTAGAAATGACTAAGTCACCAATTGACGGTTTCCTTTAAATCACCTACGGTTTCCTTTAAATAGAAAATGTTTAGCATTCACTTTCTATCATTTTGGCACCAAAATAGGTTTCTGCGAACCAAAATGCCTAAATCGCATCGTCGGGTTTTCGCCTTTTTTGATCACTCGACTTCGTACCCCCATAAAAAATCATTTTAGAACATTTTACAACAACAAAAACCACAGAACAGAACCACAGAACATTTTAGTAATATTTCAACAATTTTTTGTCGAAAAACAATTGACCTTTATAAAGCAAACCATAGGTGAATAGATTATTTCTAAACCGAAGTACAGAAAAAGTGGGCAAGCCCAATTCACCAAGATCTAACAATAAGCTGACCTTCATACTTCATAGCAACTTTGCTTGGAGCTTGGATCTTTTATAGCATTAACTGTATGATTTCTATAATTTTATAATTATTCTTTAGCCATTTTATACCAGCTACAGTTGTTGCTCTGATCTCTTTGAACCTTGCTTCACAAGTCCTTTTATTTCTGTTTTATGTACGTGAATCTTGTATCGTTTTGCTCTTTTGCTTTGCAATCAACTTTTGAGGCATATAACAACCTTCCGAAATCCTTTTGTCAAGTAAAAAAGTAAACGTACTTTTGTCTTGTGTCAAGCCGGATGCATCTGCGCCTTGTGCATCTGTTTTATAAGTCCTGTAGCATCACCAAATTTGACAACAGAGGTCCAATATGCCGTTCAGCGCGGACCGTGAGCTTCTGAAGACTTTTTCCTGCCATAATTGAAAGGATCCTTCAAGAAATTTGCAACAACTTGGTGCGAGCGCTTCATTTTCCTTGCGATCTCCCGATTCGACAACTTTTTTCCTTTCAAAATTGCAATTTTCATCTGTTCGATCCGCGAAAGCGATTTTCCACGCCATCTTCCTAAAAAATAAAAATTAAAGAAATAGAACAAGCAAAAAATGGTTATTACAGGTATCAAATGAAAAAGAAACGTGATGGTTTTATCATTTTGCAAAATAAAGAAATGATTAAAAACGACGACGCGGCGCTCCCATCAACTACCTCCAAATGGCGGCGATGTCAATTGGAATGCGACGTTGTGCGAAAATTAAAATTTTCGACAGAAATTCAGAGCCGATTTCATTTTTGCCGACAATTTTACATCTTGCACAACACATAAAAGCATACGTTCCACAATTCATGGCCTCGCGTAAAACAATACTTTCAATTAATCTGACAAAAAACAAATGCACGGATGCAACAAAAATAAATGCAATGATTTGAAAACGAAAAAGAAGCGATGAAGCGGTGCTCCCATCGACTACCTCCAAATGGCGGCGACATCAATTGGAATGCGACGTTGCGCAAAAATTAACATTTAACAATAAAATACAAATAACATTTAAAATTTGCGACAGAAATTCAAATTTAACATGAAAACGTCTCGAAAAGCACATTTTTTTCTCTCTGAAGGTAAAAATTTGTGGCTTTTATAGTAAATGATTTCGTAAACGATATTATATTAAACGATATGTGCGTACTTTAGTATATAAAATTAGAATTTAAGCCTCGTTTTGCATTTTTAGTTATTTAAAGTTATTTAAAGTTTGCGTTAGTTATTTAAAGTCAAAAATCGAGGATGATTAGGGTACTGTGCAATGAGAATTCTATTGTTTTATAATATCTTTATATTTCTTTGTCCTTACATTGTTCTGGTCACGTCATCCAACGGCATTGTCCTAGCATTGTAATCTTTCAACTTTCAACTTTCAACTTTAAACTTTCAACTTTCAACTTTTTCAACTCTCAACCTTTTGTTCTCAACGTGCAATTTGAGAAATTTCCTTTAAAAATTCGATTTCAGTGCCACGATTTCAGTGCCAAGATAAGCAGCAGAAAAAAAGTCGATTTTCACCTTTTCAATGGGCGAGCCGTTTCTTGACCCATGGCAAGTCGCCGCCGCTGCTTCGTCGGGGTTTGTTTTGCATTCAAATTTGCATATTCAAAGTAATCTCAAGTTGGCTTGTAACAAAGTATTTGAATTTCTGGGATTGTGCTGGGTAAATGGGTAAATGGTGGGTAAATGAATGCTGGTAAATGCTGGTAAATGATGGTAAATGATGGTAAATGCTTGGGTAAATGAATTCCTAGTTGGGTAAATGTACCAAAATGAATCAATGCGAGAGGAGGCACAGAAACAACACAGCTATACTTGTTCTTTAGAGTGTACTTTGTACTTAGTAAACAGGTGTACTTTGTACATCTGGTTCACTCAATCTTTCCTTTTCTGTCATTTTTTCTCGGCTCTTCATTTTCTGTCATTTTTCACCCATTGCTGAGAAGATGAGGAACCCATTTCTCTTGTCATTTTTCTCCCAACTCTTACATCTTTACTTTCACTTTCCCTACATCGACCCCTTTTCTACCCCTTTTCTATAAGTGTTCTCAATTTCCCCTTCTCTTTTTCTTTTCTCAATCTTTGGAGTAAACATTTGCCCAGCGGGCAGTCTCGATCGGCTCGATCGGCTCGATTTCCCTCTCTTTTCCCCACTCTCCATTTCATCTCTAGCAGACTTTCACCTTTCACTCCCAGGTACTTGTTTGGATGAGAAAAGGGAAATGAATCAGCTGGACATTGGCTAGAAAAAGTTTGCAATATTTTGAAAAAATTAACAAGTGTAGCAAACTTGCTACTTTCTTTATCAAACTTAGCAAGTCAAGTCACTGTTTGAAATCACGAAAGTAGTATTTTTTGCCAAACGAAGAAGCCAAACGAAGAAGCTAAACGAAGAAGCTAAACGAAGAAGCCAAACGAAGAATACCCCCCATAGTGACACGAGTAGCTTTATTGGCATTGCTGAGAAGATGAGGAACCCATTTCCCTTGTTGGCTGCTGAAGAAGCTGTCGACTGCTGAAGACCAAAAAACAAGATGCTTTCCATTTTCAAAACTTTTCAAACCAAACACTTGTATAGATTTCTTTAACGTCAGCTTTTTAGATTGAGCTACGGAGATGATGATGAGTTGGGCGTTTCGGCTGGGAAGTACGCGAGAATGGATGGATTGGATGGGGATAATCACGAGAAAGAGAGATTCGCAAGGGAAAATCATTCGGAGGTGAGCAAGGATTGACTAACAAAGGTCTTCTAATTGTAAGGATCTTCCAACCAGATCCTAGGATCAAGCTAAGCAGGGCAGATCTTTAGTAAAGCTAGGCTAGACCTTGCCCGACCTGGCTAGACCTTGCCCGACCTGGCTAGACCTTGCCCGACCTGGCTAGACCTTGCCCGACCTGGCTAGACCTTGCCCGACCTGGCTAGACCTTGCCCGACCTGGCTAGACCTTGCCCGACCTGGCTAGACCTTGCCCGACCTGGCTAGACCTTGCCCGACCTGGCTAGACCTTGCCCGACCTGCCGAGATCTAGCCCGACCTGGCTAAACCTTACCCGACCTGCGTAGACCTTGCCCGACCTGCTTAAACCTTGCCCGACCTGGCCAATGTCTTTGGAACAATAAGCCTGATAGCAACAACAGTAAACCTAATCAAAAGCCAAACTTGAACCAGTCTTCTAACATTAAAATCTTCAACAAATCCTCATTCAGATCGAGAGACGTCGCCGCAACAAAATGACACATTACATCAACGAGTTAGCCGAGATGGTACCACAATGTGCCGCATTGGGGAGAAAGCCCGACAAGTTGACGATTCTGCGAATGGCCGTTTCACACATGAAAGCGATTAGAGGAAATGCACCACAGGTTAGAGATTTGAGTGGAAAAGGGTAGAAAACTAATGGCAATCTTGTAAGATCAAGACTGACTAGGGAAAGACTGACAAGACTGACACGACAAGACTGACTAAACCTTGAGTTCGTGCCTTTCCCTGGTGAGCTCCATTTTAATACCAAATTCCAGGACGAAGCCTCCTATAAACCGTCGTTTCTCACCGATCAAGAGCTGAAACATTTGATTCTTGAAGCGGCAAACGGTTTTCTTTTTGTTACGTGTTGCCACACGGGGAGAGTGCTTTACGTATCGGATAGTATCACACCGGTGTTGAACTTGAAACAGGTTTGTTGGCAAGTAGACTGATCAAGTAGTAGCAAGTAGACATACGAATTTTCAGGAAGAGTGGCTGAATCGAAATCTTCACGAGTTGATCCATCCGGATGATCAGGACAAAATTCGGGATCAACTTTGTGGGAGTGAAGCGGCACTGAATCGAGTATTGGATTTGAAGAATGGAGGAGTGAAGAGAGAGGTGAGAATTGAAAGGATTTGGTACTGTAGCTCTATTCTACGGATACTCAGCTGTACTTATTGGATAGCGTAGTTCTGCAGAGGCTACAGATTACAGGCTACAGTACTCCTTAGTATACTGTAACTCTAGGGTACTGTAGCTTGGTGAAATGCTATTGCTCTGTGACAAATCTTACTGTAGTCTTGCTACAGTAAGATTTGCTACAGTAAGCTACAGAGCTACAGAGCTACCAGCTACGGTAGCCCTGTAGCTCTTTAGGATACTGTAGCTCTTCAGGATACGGTAGCTCGTTAGGATACGGTAGCTCTTTAGGATACGGGAGCTCGTTAGGATACTGTAGCTCTTCAGGATACGGTAGCTCTTTAGGATACGGGAGCTCTGTAGCTCTTTAGGATACTGTAGCTCTTCAGGATACTGTAACTCTTTAGGATACGGTAGCTCTTTAGGATACGGTAGCTTTTAAGGATACTGTAGCTCTTCAGGATACTGTAGCTCTTCAGGATACTGTAGCTCTTCAGGATACTGTAGCTCTTTAGGATACTGTAGCTCTTTAGGATACTGTAGCTCTTCAGGAAACGGTAGCTCTTTAGGATACTGTAGCTCTTCAGGATACTGTAACTCTTCAGGATACTGTAGCTCTTTGATACATATCTCTTTGTATACTGCACCTCTGGCGCTACCGTAGCTGGGTAAAGTACTGTAACTTTGTTGCAAGTACTCTCTGAGGTAGCTCTGAGGTGGAGTACTCACATTCTAGTTCAAGATCTAAAAATCTATCTAAACTCTATTTTCTCTTCCAGGGTGCCAATTCCCGTGTGCACATGTCATGTCGTCGTGGCTTCATTTGTCGAATGAGAGTCGGCCCATTGGAGGCTTTGCATCGACTCCGAAATCGTCGACCCCTTTTTACGCATGGCGGACATACATATGTGGTCATGCATTGCACTGGGTGAGTTCTATTGTCTTTATTTGGATTCGGCTTCTTCTTCACCGTCTCGAAATGTTGATCTTAGCAGCCAAGCGGTTGCTTTGTTAAGGTAAAATGAGATTAAAACCATTGCTCTGCAGCAGGAAAATGCGTAAGATGTCATTTTCATGAGTACTGTAGCTACCTAGCGGTACTAAGGGCATGTAGCACAAATCTGATTACAGATTTGGATTCCTCATCCCCGAAAACCTCAGAGTACAAATTTTCAGCTTACTATTAGGTTGGCAAAAAAGAAATGCGCGTTTTCGTTAAAAGTTTATTTTATTATAAAAACAAGATAACAATACATTAATCCAAAAGGTATTCGCCATCTGCATCAATGACTTGTCGCCAACGTTCACGCAGAGAATGGATGCCCTTCTTGAAGAACTCGACCGGCTGCGACTCGAAGAAGTTGGACACCGAAATTTGGACCTCGTCACGGTTCTTGAACTTTTTCTCGGCCAAGAAGTGGTGCATTGATCGGAACAGATGGTAGTTGGAAGGCGCCAAATCTGGGCTGTATGGCGGATGAGGCAGAACTTCCCAGCCCATTTCTTCAATTTTCCGCTGGGTGATTTTTGCGACATGCGGCCGAGCGTTGTCGTGGAGGAATTTTGTCGACGGCTTGACGCCTTGACGCCTTGACGCCGCAGCGCCTGGTCCACGCGGTCAAATTGGCCTTGGTAGAGGTTCGCCGTAACTGTTTGACCCGAATCCAGAACCTCAAAGTACACCAGGCCTTTACTGTTCCACCAAACACAAAGCATCACCTTTTTTCCGTGGATGTCCGGTTTTGGAGCTTCACCGGGGTCCAACCACTGCCGCTTTCTTGCTGTGTTGGCGTATTGGATCCACTTCTCATCCGACATAACAATGGAGTCGAAAAACCCACTGTTCTTGGCGCGGTGAGTGAGAATTCCGGCGATTGCGATGCGTGTCGCCTTGTTTGCCTCGGATAGCTTATGCGGTACCCATTTTCCGCATCTATTCGTCTTGCCCATGCCATGCAGATGGTTCTCAATGGTGACATGAGTGCAGTCGAACTGTTCTGCCAGGTCGCGAGTGGTTTGGCGTGGATCCGACTCAATGGCTTCCTTCAATGCGTCGTGGTCGATAATTTGAGGTCGACTCCCGTGTTTTTGGTCTTCCAAGCTTTCGTCGCCGTCTGGAACCATCGTTTACACTGACTTTCGGATAGAACATCTTCGTCAAACACTTGAGATAGAGCGCCACGAGCTTCAGCAGCCGATTTGCCTTGCTTAAATTCATGCCACAAGCAGGCCCGCAAACGAAATTTTTGGTCCGACATTTTCTAAACACTCTTTCTTGCAAAAAAACAAAGTAAACATAGACAAATTATATATCAAACGATGCGCAAGAACACGCTCTTTCCAATAGAATAAACTATTTTAAAAAATCTTTTACTGTGAATAAAATACAAATCAACAAACACGACGCTCATTTCTTTTTTGCCAATCTAATAGTTCAATTTGTTGTAATTTTACGTTAACGCAATTTGTATTATCGCGTAGGTGTGACGGAGGGACAGACATACAGATGGACGCTGTAGTGGATAAGAGTAGTGGATAAGAGTAGTGGATAAGAGATGTAGTGGATAAGAGATGTAGTGGATAAGAGATGTAGTGGATAAGAGATGTAGTGGATAAGAGATGTAGTGGATAAGAGTCTTGTTTCCGAGACAAGCTGTCAAGTTTTTGCTCGGGTTCGATCCTTTCCTTTTGTTTTCATTTTATTTTCATGTTTAGCCGCCCGAATTTGCTCTATTTTAACTTTACAATAAGTACAGTCGAACTTCGATATAACGAACTTCGACACAACGAATTTGAAATTCTAAAAGGTGCCCAAAATTTCTGCGTAACTGCCCCAGCCAAATGCAATCAGTGGCCGTCCAGGGCAGCTATGCAAAAAATTTGAGGCACGTTTCAGGTTCGTGATATCGACGTTTTCGGTTCCGATCGATTCGTTATATCGAAGTTCGACTGTACTTATTGTAAAGTTAAAATAGAACAAATTCGAGCGATTAAACATGAAAATAAAATGAAAACAAAAGGAAAACATCTTTTAATTGATAATAAACAAAATAGCACAAAATTAACAGCAATCTATAAAGTGAAAAACATAATTTAACGTTACATCTTGCACAACACATAAAAGCATACGTTCCACAAGTCATGGCCTCGCGTAAAACAATACTTTCAATTAATCTGACAAAAAACAAATGCACGGATGCAACAAAAATAAATGCAATGATTTGAAAACGAAAAAGAAGCGATGAAGCGGTGCTCCCATCGACTACCTCCAAATGGCGGCGACATCAATTGGAATGCGACGTTGCGCAAATGAGATTGCAAATGGAACCAAATGATATCTTTATGAGAACCAAATATGAACCAAATAGGAACCAAATAGGAACCAAATAGGAACCAAATAGGAACCAAATAGCAACCAAATATGAACCAAAATAGGAACCAAATAGGCTATGAACCAAATATGAACCAAATAGGAACCAAAATATGAACCAAATATGAACCAAAATAGGAACCAAATATGAACCAAATATGAACCAAAATAAGAACCAAAATAAGAACCAAAATAAGAACGAAATATGAACCAAATAGGAACCAAATATGAACCAAAATAGGAACCAAATAGGAACCAAATAACAACCGCGAAAATTCACATTTAACAATAATGCAACAAAAATAAATGCAATGATTTGAAAACGAAAAAGAAGCGACGACGCGGCGCTCCCATCGACTGCCTCCAAATGGCGGCGATGTCAATCGGAATGCGACGTTGCGCGAAAATTAACATTTAAAATTTCGGACAGAAATTCAAATTGATCATCAACTTTAAAAAAACTTGAAAATCGTCAAAGTTCAAATGGCTCATGTCATTTGACCTTTCCTTGTGCGTATTTAGCGAATTTTAACCTTTCCCTCTCTTTAGATACATCAAAAACGCTCCTCCAGCCGGAATCGAGGCCCCAGCTACATCATGCTTGGTGGCAATCGCTCGATTACAGGTAACAAAGCGAAAATTGCTCAAAATGAGCTAATGGATCGTAAAGCCAATAGCCAACAATTGTAAATGGATCGTTTTCGCAAACGTACATGACTTCCGTCTGTTTGAAAAATTTACCTAAAAAGCGCTTTGAATCTCGTTCTTTGTTCAGAACAAAGCTGGATAATTGAGTGTGATAGAAAACTTGCGTTTATCAAAGCACAAAGTTCAGGTGGCTTCGATGCCGATTTGCGCGGATCCGACCACATCAACGCAATTCTCGGTGAGGGTGGCCGAGGATGGAAAGATGACATTCGTCGATCAACGAGCCACCGCTTTACTCAATCTCTCAATTGATCAGGTAGCAGGAAATGTACTTTGTGCTTAAAAATACACCCTTCTTGTAGTAGTAGTAAAGCAAACTCCAGTAATTTTTAGCTCCTCGGTCGATATTGGTGGCAAATTGTGCACCCGGGCGATGAGCAGCTGTTGCACGACGCTTTTCTCGCGTTGATTGCGAATCAAGTAAGTGAAATGATGGCTAGAGATGGATTTAGATGTTTTAGATATGTTTTAGATCTGTTTTAGATATGTTTTAGATACTTAGATACTTAGATACATACAGGGCGCGTCATAATTATTGCAACAAGATACTCAAGGCATTGCACACCAAGAAGTTTCACTGGAAGAAGATTTTTAAACAGAAATACCTTTATTTAACAGTAACAAATAAGGAAACAAGAGATCATTCGATATGACCGCCTTTTGCCTTGATAACAGCCCTTAATCGGTTCGGATATGCCTCCACTGCGGCCCGAATGTCATCTTGAGGAGTCGCCTTCCATTCTTTGGCCAAAGACTTCTTCGTCAAAGACTTCTTCAAGGTCAAAGACTTCTTCAAGGTCAAAGACTTCTTCAAGGTCAAAGACTTCTTCAAAGAATCCAAACTTGTGTGTTTTCGAGAGCAGACATTAGCCTCTAAGATTGCCCAAATGGAAAAGTCCATCACATTGAAATCCGGTGAGTTTGGAGGCCATTCATCCTTGGTGATCACTGAGGGAAAGTTGGCCACACACCAGTCCTGAACCGTCTTCTTCGTGTGAGCGGGAGCTCCATCTTGCATGAAGATCCAATTTTGCTTGTTATTGGCTTTACACGCTCATGACATCACATTCTTAACATGATATTCTTGACATCACATTCTTGACATCACATTCTTGACATCACATTCTTGACATCATATTCTTGACATCACAAGCGGTCTTTGAACTCTTGTTGCAATAATTATGACGCACCCTGTATACATATATAAATCTATCCATTTCCTCGATTTCAGCCCCTCCGTGTCACCTGTCGAGTGCGGACAGCGACTGATTATGTGAACTGTTGCATATCGGCCTATAAATTTTTGAATCCGTACAGGTGGATTGATTTTTCATATTATTGATTTTTTTTCATATTAGATATACTGTAACTTTACTTTATAGTATTCATTAGTATAGTATTCATAGTATAGTATTCATTTGCAGTGACGCTTTCGAATACGTCGTCGCCACACATCAAACGATTCCCGCCGACGATCCGACTTGGCAACCACCGCACGACGCTTTCCCGGTGAGACTTTGAGCAAAATTTGGCTAGTTCTGATTTTTTTAAAGTCTTGAGCTCACTCTTAGACTCTATTTTAGAGGATTTTGGTTATATTTTACTGAAGTTTATCAAAGTTCATCAAATAAACTGATCGGACTTGTGAACTTTTGCTGACTGACTCGGGTAGCTAAAGTGTGGACTACTAGAACTGTAGCTAGAACTGTAGCTTTTCCCCAATTACTGTAGCTTTTCCCCAACTACTGTAGCTTTTCTCCAATTACTGTAGCTTTTCTCCAACTACTATAGCTTTTGCTCTAAGATATTTCAAAGATTGTTTGGGTTTTTCAAAGAAAAAGTCTCTTAGACAAGGCAGGACTTGGTCTAGCTTGGTCTGGATTTACCGTAGGTTCAACCCTAGATCCTGGTCCAACCCTAGATCCATCAGGTTTAGACCTGGATTCTGTCCGGATTCTGGCTGGGCTCTGGCTTAGTTACAGACCCTAAGGCTCTGATCTAGCGTCCGGAATCTGCATATTTATTACCCTAATCCTTATCGATTTACCGTATCAATTACTTTGCTCAATCAATTGCTTTTGGCTTTTAGCTGAATATAGATTTTGGTGGTTGGATCACTCTTTAACACGCCCGTGAATGATCTGAGAACTTTGAACTTTGATTTTGCAATTATAGTACACAACTTTCCAATAACAATATTCCAGCTGCAGAATTGATTATTTAGCCTTAAATCTAAACAAAGCCTATTCCAGACAGCCCCAGGCCAGGGTGATTACGGTGCAGCGGCAGCGGCTGCAGTGGCCGCGAGCACCGATTGGCAACAAGCTGAGCGGATGGCGCAATGGCCTTGGGAACACCCGAATGCCGCATTGCATCACTCATTCCGACAATAATATCGAAATTTACCTATTTTAATAACTCCAGTCAAAATTGCTTTCTTTTTGGTTTGTTTTTGTTTGTTTCTTCGAAATCTCATATCGTTTTTGGTGTTTTTTTTCAGGCAAGTTTTCTCTCTTGAAAATTGTGATTTCACTTCATTCTGTGCAACGATTTTGTGGATAAACGTTTGAAATGGTTATGCCAGATGATGAGTGTTTACGGGAGAGAATGGCGGAAGAGAAAGAAGTAATCAAACTGAAGTACAGTCGAACTTCTCTACAACGATCTTCTACATAACGATAACTTCTATATAACAATGGCTTCTTTGTGTCCCGGCAAAACTTTTAATAAAGTGTTAACAAACAAGCTTCTATATAACGATATTTTTTGGGAAAATAGTTTTAATTTGCATTTCACTATAACGTTTTTTCTTGAATCGGTTTGTTTTCTAAACAATGTCCTAAAACAAAAGCTTACTTTATCAAACATTCGACTGAAATTCTTTCTCCCAAATGTCACAGTTGCTATCCAACCGATGGATATGGGAATTATAAAGAATTTGACGAGCCCTGAGAACGACGCATCGAGCCCTTGAAAGGAACCTCCTCGGGTACAATAGGAAGACGCAGCTCGACCAAGACCTAAGAAGTACGGATATGCGCCAGCTCTCGGGACTCAGAGATCCAGTGGAAGTGATTGAGAGAAAAAGACTCAGATGGGCCGGCCACGTAGCCAGAAGAACAGACGACAGATGGACGATACGGATCACAGAGTGGCTACCACGAGACCAGAAGAGGCCCATCGGAAGACCAGCAACGAGCTGGAGCACAAGAGTGGCAGAGACGGTCAGAAAAAGGATGGCTAGAGTGCAACCACGACCAGCACAAGCAAGTCGAAGACTTCGAACCAGGAACAATCAAGATAGGAAACACTGGATGACAATAGCAAGGGATCGAGAAATGTGGAAGCAGGTTGTGATCTGCGCAAATGCACAATGCGATGACAGATAAAAAAAAAAAAGAATTTGAAGATAAAATATCGATGTTTACTGATGAAGCGACGAATATTGATCAAAATATAATCGATCTGTTCTGTCCGATCTGTTGAATGCGATTCATATGTTTGAACGGGCCTGGACTGAAGTGAAAGCGCAGACATTGTCAAATTCTTTTCGAAAAGCTGGTTTTAGATTAGACGATGACACTGGAGTTCAAATTCGTGATGGCGACCGACCGTGACGGCGGCAGTATCATAGCTGAAGTCTTAACTCCTAGCTGAGATCAATTGGCCGCGGACAATTGATCGCCGACAATGCCGATTTTCTTACAATAACTTTGGAATTCGTCTGTATTGATGAAAATGTTGTAACTACAGGAATTCAAAGGTTGCAAGTGATAGCCGATCCAGCACAAGGCATCGAAACATTCGATATTTCTTTCAAAAGTGATGAAGAAAGACTTCAAGAAGAACAAAAACATCCAATATCTAAATAGAAGAAAATAGAAGAACTAATAGAACTAATAGTAGCACCAGTGCTACTATTAGTTCTTTTACTAATTTTTATTCCTAAAACAAACAGAACAACCCCAACCTGGAAGTTTTCAAGATAATTCACCAGAATTTTTTCAGCTTTGAATTTCAGAATTATTGAATTGAATTCAGATTTATTCATCTTTAACAAACAAGATAACAAAATTAAACATAAAAACAGATTTAGATGTATCAATCAAAGCAATTAAAATCAAAGCAATCAATTATCAAAGCAAATTGATGCATCTAAATCAACAAATTCGTCATTTTCTTCTTTCTGATCATTAACTTCTCGGAATTCTCAAATTTCTGTTGATTGAAGCGGCACCAGAAAATCATTCATTTCTTTCTCCATTCATCCATTCATCCGGGCGTCTTTTAGCAGCTGTAGCCCATTGGGCGCGGTCGGCCTTGAAACACTGAATCATATTGTCCTCATCATTGTTTGCTGCAATTTCGATGCATCCTTTGAAAGACTTTTGAATCATCTCCTTAGAAAGCTTATCCCAAGCCTGAACGATCCATGTCAAATGCGTGTCCATTGAAGGTGGTTGTGGTCGCCGCTCTCAATGTGAATTAATGCCGCTTTAGCAACGATTCCATCCAAACGTGACTTCTTTTGAAGGGAATCTCTGCGTCAGCAAATCGATTAGCCGTTTCGTTTCAGATCATTTGATGAATTACTCACTTTTTTCGCTCCTTTTTTTAAGAATCCATATCGCCAAAACTTCAATATTTTTTGACGTCAAAGCGCGTTCGCCAACATCGAGCCGCTTCCTTTTTTTCTTGCATTTTGCTTAGCTCATTTGTTTGTTGACGTATCGTTGGACACAAGTCAATTTTGTGGAAGCTGGCAACAGCATGAACGGAGACTTCGCGAGCAATTCTTGCAGCATCGAGTTTAGTCTTCGCATCTATTGCTTTTTTTCTTTCGCTTTGGCTTGTTCGTTCCCTCGTTTGCTTCTTTGTCCGATTCCTCGTGCAACTCTTCGTTCAATTCACGTTGATGTTCTTGTCCTTCTTCAAAGAATCCATTTAGTTCGTGCTCACGTCGTTCGCGAAACGCTTCAAAGTCATCCCAGCTTTTGCGATCGCTCATCGAACCTAAAAAAATAAAATCATCCAAGAAAACGAATAAGAAACGCTAGAAAAGCAGTAAAAAGGTGAAGAATTAATTGAATGAAAATGCTGTAGTTATTTGATGTAAGCTAAAAAGCAAAAAGCTGAATATCTTGAGATTTCTCGCAGACATTAAAATATTCACTTAAAGAGCGCTACTATGATTGTATAGCTATTGAGGGATTTATAGTTGTTGATTAAATCAGTGAAGTCTACAAAGCGCCCAAAATCTTAGAATTTCCGAAAACGAGTAGAACTTTAACAATAGCACTGTGCCTTACAAGGAACCATTAACTTCAACTCTGTACCTTCAACTGTACTATATGAAATGTACATGCACGGTGAGTCGATCATCGACAAAAAGTTCCTCCATCACAATTGCAACTCTTTCTCTTTTCATACTTTTTCTGTGTCTGTGGGGGAGAAAGCATGACGGTTCTCACAAATATTTGCATAACTTCTTTTCCATTTCGGTGTGCCCCTCATTCCCATCCCCGGGTATGTCCCTTTTCCATCCAATAGGGACGTTATTCTCGGAACGGTGACGATATTGTGAAATGTTTTGGCTTCGCGCGAGAAAATACATAACATTTACCCATTTTATGTGGGTGAAATGTTTTAGGAAAGGTGTGGGCGAAAGGTTTACAAAATTTGATATGTTTAGAAAGCTAAAAAGAAGTTTGCCGTAAGTTTTGACAATTTACGGGGGTGGGACAAATGCGACCTTTTTTTGCGCACCTGGACATTTGCGCACCTTTTTTTGGCTGGAAAAGGCCTTAGGCAAGGCCGTAAAGCTTCAAAAATGTTTTCATAGAAGGGAATCGTATGCGTAGATTCCGAATTTCGACAAATCAGACCGCGCTGACACGTCAAATTTGAGCTAAAAGGCAAAAACTACGCAACTTAACGCTTTTCCGCAGTTTTTGCCTTTTAGCCCAAATTTGACGTCTCAGCGAGGTCTGATTTGTCGAAATTCGGAATCTACGCATACGATTCCCTTATGTGGAAATATTTTCGAAGCTCTACGGCCTTGCCTAAGGCCTTTTCCAGCAAAAAAAGGTCGCATTTGTCCCACCTTTTACATCTTTTCGAATCAAATTTTCATTTTATTAGTCTAGCTAAGAAATATTCAGTTAAACTCGCGACATGCTCAGGCATCGCGACAAAAATTTCATTTCATTTGCCTGTTCTTAACTCTTCTTTTACGAATGACCGTCTATTGATAACGGTCTATTGTTAACAGTCTATTGTTATTTTGGGGTAGGCTAATTTCCGCCATTTTATTTTTCCAGTAGGATCATTTGCAAATCTACGTCTTTTACGCAACTCACCATAACTTTCTTCTAATTCAGTCAATCTTTCTGCTCTTTATGTCATTTTGTAGATTTCAATAATTGCAACAAAATGACACCAAAAACATAAAGATTAGCTGATTTAGAAGAAAGTTATGGTGAGTTGTGCAAATAAAATGACGGAAATTAGCCTACCGCGATATTTTTTCTCATTCATATTTTTATTTTTATATTTTTGTATATGTTTAGAGATTTCCCTCTTTACCCATTAGTTGTACGCACAAATTTGCGATTCTTATGCGCAAATCGAGGCGACAGACGAAAATATTGTTGAAAAGCTGTGGCCAATGGCTCTCCTTCTCTTTGTGCTCCCTTTCACCCTCCTTTCTCTGCGTTTTTTCGCGGTTCTTTTCACGAAACGCGCCCATGCACGTATGTCAAAGAGTGTTCGAAGTAATCCTGGGGTTCCCATCACAAATTAATGCATTTGAGCGCTAGTTCTTGCGTTTTTTCCACCGCGATCCTTTGTCTTTTGAAGTCGAAAGTTTATTGTTGAAATTATTATGAAACAATCAGAAATTGTTGTTGTTGTAATTTATGCTATTGTTGCCCGATAAGTTGTTGTAAGTTATGCTAACGAAATGACACTGAGTCATTTATTTCGATGAATCAGTTTCAGAGTTTTTTATGTGCAGAAATTTCTAGCGACTGCATTGGGCGCGAAAACTTTGAAGGAGCACAGCTGCGCGTGTTTTCAACCCCCTTTCTCCCAAATGAATGAGTCTTCGCTCCTTTGTTTCAACTCTTTGATTTGATTGATTCCTTTTTTCGATAACAACAAAGGATTATTTTTAGAATTGTCGTTACTTGAATTTTGTGGATTAGCGATGCGCCAGAACCTTCAATATTTCGTAAGACCCCTGCGCATAGGTGAGAGTCGATTTTCCCATTACCGGTAATCGATTATGCGTCTCTTCTTTTAACGAAGAAAAATTCAAAAGACGAACTTTCTTTTCTTTTTGCCTGAGTCAGCGGGGATTGCTCCCCTGGCTGTCCGCCAACCGGTCAACTAGCGCGCGTCTTTTCTTCATTGCACCCCCTCGGGGCGGCTCTTTTCTCCCCTCCTATTCGCCCGTAACAGTCTCGCGAGGCGATTGTGACTCCTTTCGGGTCTTCTTGTTGTTGATGGTGAAAAGGAAAAGGGGTTGGTGGGGAGGGCTGAACGGTTTCCCCAATCGATTCCCGTCAAGAACACGCAGACCCGCGCGGCTCCCCCTTCTCACAGCATAAGTCTTGAGGCTCGCTTCTTGTCTCTTCTCGATCTCTTTATCCTTTCTCCTAGGTACCATTCGAGGGCGTTTTCTTTCCCGCCTCGCCCAACTCGAAACTTTTTCTTGCTTTGTACTTCTCTGGGCGTTTTTTCACCACTCCCCTAATCGATTAGTTGTCGAAAATCGTAAACATTGTTAAATTGGCTTTATTTATCCAGACACTCCGTTTTTTTATGTTCTAACCGTTCTGTTCTAACTGATGGGTCTAACAACCAGTTCAAGCTCTCATCATCCATTAATCCTCATGGAAAGCCATTTATCAAGCTTTTTTTTATCCGTGCAACTTGAAACAGCGGTTGTGTCTCCTTTCTTTTTCTTTACCTTAATCTTTTGACCGGATCTATTTTAGTTAACATTTTCAATTGGTATTTTAGGCAGTCGAGTTTTGTTTGGGAAAAATAATCCGTTGCAAATTGCCAGCGGCGGTTTTCTCGCTGCTTTTTAGTTCATGCCGACCACTGTTGATTGCTATTGGGTAAACACATTCCATTCCTCATTCCCCTCTCACTCACACATATCGATGTTTCACTATTTGCACTATGTTTATTGCTTTTCTCATGATTCTACTTTTTCAGCTCTTCTGCTTTAACTCTTATTAATGTTTTGATTTAGGTTGAAACACTCGGAAGATCAACGAGGAACATTTTTCAAACTTCAACGATGTCTAAAAAAGCGGTGGGTTTAACGATTTTCATAATATTAGAGCAAAATAGTCAATTGAGTGAATGGATTGCTTGTTAATATGATTCGTTTGTATTGACTAGAGTTCTTTTTGTTTCCGATGAGTGCATATCAAAGTTGTGGCGCCAAAAAAAGTGCTTTGTGCCTTCTGGAGAGGGCGGAGCCGGGCCATTTCTCTGCACAGAGGGGTCTGTTTTATTTCCCCGCCGCTTTTCTCACTCTTCTCTCCAACCCGACCTAAATTGGTGGTTGGTCACCGATTCCTTCTTGGAGCTTTTCCCTCTGGAATTCTTGGAATCTTGACGTTATTGTCAAAAAAACTAAAAAAGAGAAACAATGGCACCGGCTCCTGAAGTAAGTTATTGGCTAGAAGCATAATGTTACTGATAATACAATGCTAACATTTGCTGTTTCATCTCCTTTCCACTCTTTAAACGTCATTTTGAAAACTATATATCACTTTGTGTTACGTTGCTCTTGGGAAATAGGGGAGAGATTTAACCAATTCTTCTTTCGATCTCTTTGTCGCGAATCGTCCAATCGTCAAATATTTTTCGTTTTACTCAAACTAGACAAAACTACCTTGCTTTACTTTAAGCATCAATGACTTCAATTATGTTTATCAGTAAATTTAATTTGATCTCTGCGGCCATTGTTTGTTCTTTCACCTTTATCGATTCTGGTTGTGCTGTCGTTTCGACGCGACACTTCCTTTATCAGCGTTTTCTTTTTTTGGGGGAAAAGAACAAAATGCTAGTTGATTGTGAATGGACGCGTTTCAACTTCTGGAATCAGAATTAGAAATGGATGACAAATCGGGCTTATAAATTTAGGGTATAAGGATTGTGGGAGTTAATCGCTTTTCTTTTCAAGTTCATCCTTGATTGGTATCATTTGTCCGGGTCGGGGTGTACATGGTGAGAGAAAGGGATTCTCGCACAAATCTCGTTGTGTGCCCTATATGATGGTATAACCCAAGGTCATTGGATCATTTCATGTCTTGGAGAGGCGAAAATTGAGATCAACCATGCCGAATTCTTCCAATTGAACATCTGATCCTTTTGGAATCGTTGCTCTTTAAAGTGAGAAAGTAAAGCCACGACAGAAGAGCTTGAAAAATAGGGTCATAACAAGCAACCAATTGAGTTAGAGGAAAGAAGCAAAACCTAAATCGGCTCTACCCTGATCAGAATTCCGCTTGTTTTTCTAAGCTGTTAAACAGAATTTCCATTTTTTGTCTAAAAATGGGTCGTCAACTTCTCACATTGCGTCCTTTTAACCAAATGTTTGTTTTTGGCCGTCGTGAATTGGCTTTGTACTGTTTTCGTCGCGGTTTTTCGCGTTTCCCTTTTTATTCTTGGGCTTGTTTTCTTAGGGGGGAAAGACGAAAGGTTTAATCGTTCTCGTAATGTGAGAAACAAAAAAGTGTAGATGGAATTCAAGTTCGATTTAATAGTTTCTTTGTGAAAAGCCTATGATTTGAGCATTAAATAAAATGAGCATGTCTTTTTAAACTCAAAGCTTTAAATAGTAAAGCTAGGATTCTAATCAAAATTTTGCTTTAAATACTAAAAGGTTTCTTTTAGATAAACGTGAGGGTAACCACTTGTGATGCAGAGCTCGAGTTTGCAATTCAGCCAAGCACCACCGGCAAACAACTATTTGATCAGGTAAAATTTAAAACTTGCTTCTTGTTTAAAATCGATAATTTAATCTTTAGGTGGTCAAAACGATCGGCTTGCGCGAGATTTGGTACTTCGGTCTTCAATACACCGACAACAAGAACTTCCCAACGTGGTTAAAGCTTAACAAGAAGGTATTTGAGCTATTCTTGTTCTGAGTAACGTTACTTTTAGGTGCTTTCGCAAGATGTGAAGAAGGATCAAACGCTTCAATTCAAATTCCGTGCCAAGTTCTACCCGGAAGACGTTGCCGAAGAAATTATTCAAGATGTCACACTTGTTGGTTTATCAGATATTTTCAAATCAAGCGCTGCACCTGATGACTAATTCATTTGAGTAAATACGCGAGTGCAAACTTTGGAGCGATACTTGACTCCCGCATTCCAATCCGCTTATTTATTGTCGACATGTCGCAAAGGGAAATTTGTGAATTTGCTGCACATTTCCCCTTTGTGTATTCCCTTTCAATCAATTCAAACATACAATCATTTTTGCATATAAATGCGGTGGCTAGAAGCGCTTTCAATTTAAGCTCTTTTCTCTTTCGCGGAAGCGCTATCAGAGTCGTCTCACTTATCAAAGAAGGATTCCCGGTCTTGAGAGTATACAACCTCGTAGATTAGAAGGAAAAATGGCTTCAATCCTTTTCTACTAGTGGGCTTGATAGCTAAAAAATGTGGGGCACTAAACTGTTGAATTTAATAGAAGTTTTTACATCAAGCGAAAGCTTTTATACAAAAATGTTATTTCAAGTGAATGAGGAACCATTGAATGAATCATATTGAACAGTCATAGTCGGGGAAAGCGCCTGTCCACAGACTGCATTGAACAATTTCGCTTTTGACAAAATAGAGTCTACATATACGACTGATTAGTTGTTAAAGAATGTTTAAAGAACATAATGTTAAAGAACTGAAAGCGCAGTAATGTTATATAATAATAATTTCATTTAGCGTCTTTTCTACCTGCAAGTGAAAGATGCCATTCTCTCCGACGAGGTCTACGCTCCACCTGAGACATCGGTCCTTTTGGCTGCTTTTGCCATGCAGGTTTGAAACTAGTCCATTTTAAACGATCTTCAAATTATGTTTAGGCGAAATATGGAGACTATTTGCCGGATGCACATCAAGATGGCTTTTTGGAGAAAGACCGCCTTCTTTCACAACGAGTGAGTGGACAATACCATCTTTCGCAAGACGATTGGGAGAAGCGCATTATGCATTGGTGAGAAATATTAAAAATAATCCAATTAGACGTCCGTAAAATCCATTTGTAAAAGTAAATTTGGTTTTCCTTAGGTGGGGAGATCATCGTGGACTCGCTCGGGAGCAAGCCATGCTCGAATATCTGAAGATAGCTCAGGATTTGGAGATGTATGGAATGAACGTAAGTTTGAGTGTTTTAATTTTAAATGAAAAATTTAGTACTTTGATATTCGCAACAAGCGAGGCACCGAGCTGTACCTTGGAGTTGATGCACTTGGCTTGAATGTCTATGATAAGAACGATCGACTCACACCTAAAGTTTGTTTAATGTGCTGGCTCTTTTATTTGTCTCTCTTACAGGTCGGCTTTCCTTGGTCGGAGATCAGAAACATCTCATTCAACGACAAGAAGTTTGTGATCAAGCCCATTGACAAGAAGGCTTCGGTGAGTGACTGCATTCTGAGATTTTCTGTATACTCTATCTTTAGGACTTCGTTTTCTACGCTCCTCGACTTCGCATTAACAAGCGCATCTTGGCGCTTTGCATGGGAAATCACGAGCTGTACATGAGACGCCGCAAACCAGATACCATTGAAGTGAGTATGAAGAGATGAAATTTGAGAAAAAGTATTTGTTTAGGTGCAACAAATGAAGCAACAAGCGCGTGAAGAAAAGGCTTTGAGAGCCGCTGAGCAAGAGCGCCTCAATAGGGTATCCATCATGTGATTTAGCATTTACATAAGTAAATTATTTTAGGAAATGAATGCTCGTGAAGCTGCAGAACAACGCCAACGCGATGCTGAACAACGCATGGCCGAGGTTGCTTAAAATTAGAAATCTTCTTAAATTCTTGAACATTTAGATGCAAGCTGCGATAGATCGTGCGCAAGCTGATTTGGCTGAGGCACACAACAGAATTCGCTCTCTGGAGGAACAACTTCGTCAGCTTCAGCTTGTTAGTTTAATTGGTCTTTATGTGATGATAAATTTGCTTTTAGGCTAAAGATGAACTTGAAGCCAAAGAACAGGAATTGCACGAATTGACTGATCGTCTTCAATCCGAAAAGGCAATGAGTGATGAAGAGAGGCGCCGTCTTCGAGATGAAGTTCATCGCAGGGAGAGCGAGGTTATCCTAAAATCAAATGCAGAAACAACTTTGACCATTTAGATTGGCATCATGCGAGATGAGGTCGCGAGAAGACAAGAGGAAACTTCACGTCTTCAAAGCGAGATTGAGAACGTGCGCCGCACAGAAGTACATCATAAATACACTGAAGTGGGTTGTGGTGACGGGTTCTCTTTGTCTTTAACACATTGGCGACCGTTAGACCACCTAATCAAGTTTTTCAGGGGATTTGGCCTTGCATTTGCCGTGAACTTTACGGTCTATAAAGTTTATATGTACACTTAGCTTATGGGGTTTTCAGGATGCAACAAAATTAGATAGATATATTTAATTTAATAATAACGGGTACAAATAATCGGTTTTTATCAAATAGAATTTAAGACGATTTTTTGGTCCCACGGACTTTTGTGTGAAAAATCCCCTGGTCGTCAATGTGTTAATTTTGTCTTGCGAACCAACCTGGTTTGCTTTAGGAAAAATCAACAGATTCCCCCCAAAACGTTGAGAAAAGTGAAACCGTAAGTGGTGTGCATGCTCTTCTAACTATTGTTTCGCTGAGAGATCTGCTAGATTACATCTTCTAACGAACTCTTGACCTGACCATTTTGCTCAAACTTCTCTTCTAATCTCTGATACTCTAACCAAGCAATGATGTGAATAATCTATTTTTCTTTTTAGGTTCGTGTACACTCATCTGTTCGCGATGATTATGATGATCATGATGATCTTGAGCAAAACGGCCACCGTGGTATACTTTAATAGGGACTACTATTTTCAAATTGTTTTTTAGAGCTCACTTCGGATGCTGATGCTCATCTTCCACAATACGAGTTGGATCGAATCACGGCTGCTGAACAAAATGTCTCCATCAAGCAGAAATTGGATGTTTGTTTTATTTTTGGCTATTAATTAATATCAATATTTAGATGCTTACCCGTGAGCTTGAAGGTGTGAAGGACGAGCGCGGAGTGACAGATTATGATGTATTTTAATTTTGCACTGCTTTTTTACTATTTTATTATAGGTACTTCATATGGAGAACAAGCGCGCTGGACGTGACAAGTACAAGACACTCAGGTATAACTTTTCAGGCCTTTCATTGTTTTAACCGCTTCAGCATTCATGCTAATGTGTTTCAATTTTTAGACAAATTCGTGGCGGCAACACGAAGCGACGCATTGATCAATACGAGAACATGTAAATGGCCTCAACAAATGACCGCTATCTTACACATCAACATTAAACATTTCTTTGACCTGTGCCGCCCCTGTGATAGCTCGTATGGTTTTCTTGCGTGTTTTTTTTGTAACCATTCATTTGTTTGCCTTTTTTTTGTATGGAACGCACACATCACCGGCTGACCTCGTTTTGTCAAGTAACGGTGTTCTCTTTTCACCCATCATCACCCCACAACTTATTTGTTCTTATTTCATCGCGTGTCGGCCATATGTTGTAGTCTCAACTTGATTTAAGACTATCTTTTTTTGGCAAGCCTTTGTCTATTATGGCTCAACATGTTTTTTTTTCTTCACTGTCCCATTCATGGCCTCGTTTTGTGTTCATGTATTTATTTCTTTTGGTTCACCGGCAAGAATTTTTTTCTGCATTGCTTTCCATTGGCGATGAAATTTTTTATAAAATGGTGGGAATCGTTTGTTTTTGCTAGTGGATGTCTAATTACCTAGGTTTGAGTTCTTTACAAAATAACCACTACCGTATTTTCTCGAAGGGAATCAAATTGCTGTTGGTGGACGGCGATGTTTTAAGTAAAAAGCCATTTAACGTTACAGTTCCACATGCCAACTTTTCGAAATCGAGCAAATACGGTAATTGGCGAAACGAGCATTTCCTCGAGAATTTTTCCTTTATCCTTATTGAAATGGCAATGTTCACTCGAGCGCTCCTCGATTCTTTTAAGAAAGAATTTTGTGGATCAGTAAGATTGACTCGATCGATCGATCTTGTCCTTTTCTTCATCACATCAAACAGATTAGAATTGATCCCTGGTGACTTCTTATATATTGATCAACGCAGTGCACTCCAAACCATGATTATTACGTGTTATATCGGCTAAATTTTTATCCTGTAGGCAAATGCGAAAATAAAGTTTTTTATTTTTGTACAAGCAGAGAGAAATTTGCACGTGAAATGTACGAAACGATTCTTGTGTGAAAGATCGTTTCTCTAGATCTTTCGCAATTTCATCTCAATAACCAGCTCGAGGGTTTTATCCTGAAAATGGTTTTACAATTTTTGAGAAATTTGATTTGTTGATTCTAGTAAACCTTAAAGCGAATTTAAACCCACTTTAATTTCGTTCTCGGTTCGATAACCGACACAGTAATACCCGTCCGGAATCGCCACTTCTCCGACAATTGTCTCCATTGGTCTAAAAAGATTTAACAATTTGTTTAACGATTTGCATTTAACTGTCCTTTTTTTCCTTATTTAGCTGAAACTCACGTTCCGTCAAGATTTGCCGTCTTTTGAGCCGCTGCGAAATCGGTAATCTCTTTTGCGGTGGCTTTGATGAAAGAAAAGGATAGGCGCTTCACGCATGTGGTGTCCTGAAGAGGATTTTTTTGGTATGGATAACAGTTGATTTTTAAGTCTTAGACTTTGGTGTTAGCTGGGCACCAGTTGGCTTTGTTAGCTTTGGACTTTGTTCGCTAGATAGCTGTAACCACCATCTTTTCTCACCTCTTCTTTTGTTTCCCATGTCGATTTTGCTTGAATTGGCACAATTGGTTTGTAGCCGATCGGGCAGAGAATATTCCCGAAAGTCGTGCGCAGAGTGCAACGCGGCTCACTAAACAGTTGAGTTTAGTGAAGAAAAAATGAATACTTACGCATTTGTAGAGTCACTAGCGGATTGTTGAAAGCTTTGGATTTCCTAAAATTGGAAATAATTACCGTAAATACTCTAATGGAAGCCATAGGCGCGTCGTGTAGTCTGATTTTCTCTTAAACAAAAGCTCAAATCTTGGCACTAGTACGTTTGTTTCTATCGCTCATATCTCGACACTAGTACGTTTGTTTCTAAGTGTTTAGATATCAAATTAAAGTAGAAAAATAGGGGAATTTTTTGAGCTATAACACAAATCTTAAGCATTAACCAGTGCTTAGAAAAAAATGATGGAAAAGTGACAAAAGAAGCCGATTTTTTATCATTTTTCAATCACGTTTTTCTAAGCACTGGTTAATGCTAAAGATTTGTTTTATAGCTCAAAAAATTCCCCTATCTTTCTACTTTAATTTGATATCTAAACACTTAGAAACAAATGTACTAGTGTCGAGAATATGAGCGATAGAAACAAACGTACTAGTGCCAAGATTTGCGCTTTTGTTTAAGAGAAAATCAGAATACTCGACGTTCCTATGGCTTCTATTAGAGTATTTACGGTACGCTAAAGACGCTAAAGACGGTACGCTAGTTGCAATAGACAAACCTCTTCCGATAGGGAAGAGCGATAGCCAAAAGAAAAGCTATAGGGACCCATCGAGCGCTTGTTTGGCTCGGTTTTCAGTGGATCGTTGAAGCTTTCGTGAGCGATTTGGTGGGGCGCAGATTTTGACGAGGTTTCGGTCGAGTTTTGAACTCTAAATTGATCGTACGATTCATGTGACGTAAATACATAAATATAAATATCTTATGTATTGCCAATTTCAATCAAGACTCACCCATTTTGCTCGGAAATTTGCTTTCGAGGCGATTTCCTTTTCAACGGTGGCTCATTGGAAATCGATTGGGATTGGACGGGCTTCTGAAATTAAAAAAATGAGCTTTTATGTGGAAATTTTATGAATAACAGTTTTTGCTTCTTTACTCATTTCAAAATAACAAACTTTTGGCGATGATCGTTTAGCGTTGGCTTGTTGATTCCGCTTATTGTGATTGATTGAGGAGACTGATTGATTGATTGCGTTTATCGAGGTCTTGTTTTCTTCAAAAATTGCCTCTTTCAGCTTTTTTGGCGACTTCTTGAGCAGGATTTCTAAAAATATTGAATATAAATTTGTTTTATAAAGTTTCTTACCAGACTTTTCCGGAGATGAGCTTGGAATCAAAGGATTTTCGTCCTTTATTTTGTTGTTTGTCAGTGAACAAGTTGGAATCTAAAATAAGGATATGTAATATGTTTTCAGCTATCAATTTACGATCAAATCGGCGGCCAGTCGGTCAAGAACTTCTCGCGATATGTTACCTGAATGTTTTCGATTAAAAAAACCAAACTTTCTTAGCTTAAAAACACTAACAAACATTAAAAACCAAAGGTTCTTAGCTTAAAAACACTGAAAAACATTAAGAAACCAAACTTTCTTAGCTTAAAAACACTAACAAACATTAAGAAAACTAACTTTCTAGCTTAAAAACATTAAAAACCAAACGTTCTTAGCTTAAAAACATTAAAAACCAAACTTTCTTAGCCTAAAAACACTGAAAAACCTTAAAAACACAACTCTCTAGCTTAAAAACATTAAGAAACCAAACTTTCTTAGCTTAAAAGCAATAAAAACATTAAAAACCTAACTTTCTAGCTTAAAAGCATTAAAAACCAAACTCTCTTAGCTTAAAAACACTGAAAAACGTTAAGAAAACCAACTCTCTAGCTTAAAAACATTAAAAACATTAAGAAACCAAACTCTCTAGCTTAAAAACACTAACAAACATTAAGAAACCCAACTCCTTAGCTTAAAAACACTAACAAAGGTTAAAAACCAAAGTTTCTAGCCTAAAAGCACTAAAAAACATTAAAAACCCAACTCTCTAGCTTAAAAGCATGGAAAAACATTAAAAACCAAACTTTCTTAGCTTAAAGGCATCAAAAACATTAAGAAAACCAACTTTCTAGCTTAAAAGCATTAAAAACAAAACACATACCATAATCAAGGTCAAACTTGCGACGATTGTTAGGCAGAAAAGTAATGCTGATCCCGAATTCGGCGTCTAGAAAAGAAACAATTGAATTGAATAAGCTCAAAACGTACTTTTAAAGTCACTCTCAATCGGAACGGGTCTTCTCTGCTTGTTCCCAGTTGTGCCACAAGTTGAACATTGTTGAGCGACTGTTCGCAGCGATCGACTCATCCCTCGCCAGAAAACCGTCTTCGAGAGGATCTTCGAGCTAAATGACGGCAAAATTGAAGCAACAAACAAATGATCTTTTACATATATTGATCGGGAATGTGTTCAAGCATGTGATGGGCGGCGCGAGCGATCTCGAAAGTCTCTTCGGAACAAATCTAAAAGAATTTATAAAGCTTCAAATTCGAGAATTTATAAAGCTTCCGAGAACTAACCAGAATTGGATGCCCGGGAAACAGTCTCCAAACAAGAACACGTGAATCCGCCTGATCAACGAGATACGCTCGAGCGTGCGATTCGAGAATCGTTCGCTCGCCTCGGCTACTGAATTTGAGTACTTTCTTTAGGTCGATTAGCACTAGCACTAGATTAGCACGATTAGCACTGTTTTTCCTCGCGAGTAATGCGTTTTCTAAAACGCAAACTTGCCAAAAAATTATCGTAGTTTTCATGAAAATTTGCCATTTTCGCCAAAAAATGAGGGGGTGGCTAGTTTGCGTAAAATTTTTTGCTCAACTCACCATAACTTTCTTCTTAGTCAGTCAATCGTTATGATTTTGGTGTCATTTTGTTGAACTTATTGAGATCTACAAAATGACATCAAGAGCAGAAATATTGGCCCATTTAGAAGAAAGTTATGGTGAGTTGCGCAAAAGACGTTGTGCAAATGATCTAGTTGCGCAAAAAATTTGGCGCAAAGTGACAAAAAACCACCAAAAAATGACAAACGACGATTTCTACAGGGTACGCCAAAATTTCTGTCACCTCACTCACTGGGTTTATAGATTTTAAGGCAAATTTCAATCAACTTTCGATTTTTTTTGAGCTTGTTGGTTTTCGGTACAGTTTACCCCCGACAATTGGGTGTTTTTGGGTGGTTCAAGTGGTTTTTTTGGGGGAATTTTGTGCGTAGAATCCGAATTTCAACATCCCAGGTGCGGATTAAGCGTTTTTCACAAAAAAATTGATGACAGAAGGCAAATCCATCGTGGAAACGGTGGTTTTTGTTTATGTGTGTAGCCTTTGCACCGTCTGTTCAAGGCCTTTGCACTGTCTGTTCAAGGCCTTTGCAAATGTTCAAGCGCTCAAAGATGCCATTACCCGCGAGTGGAATGCCATTCCAAGAAGCACGATCAAGAAGCACCATCAAGAAGCACGATCAAGAAGCACCTTCAAGAAGCACCATCAAGAAGCTAGTTGACAGCATGCTGAGTCGAATATTTGACGTGATCAGTCGTCAGGAACAGACAACAAAATATTAAACTGTTATTGTTATAAATAAACCTTGTTATCATAAAAATTGAACAAAAATGCAACAACGACACCAAAATTTGGGCGAGTGGCGTATGGTTTTGCACCGCACTATATAGGTATCGCGTTTAAAAACGTAGATGCAAAGGTAGTTGGGGGAAATCTTCTAAGACTTCTAGACTTCTAGACTTCTAGCTCATGCTAGAAGTCTTGGATTGTCTTTGAAGCTAGAGCAGCTTGTTTCTTGCTTCAGACTTCAGACTTCAGATTTTCACAGTTTTAAACACTCACTAAGAATTCGGGAATTCTCCATCAATCTTGTATCGGAGTAGAGACACGTGTCGAATTCTCGGCACCGAGTATTCGAAGATCTTTTCGGGACCAATGCGCTAAAAGAATTGTTTTATGGAAACCTATTATCAGAAAAATGGAAATATAAAGTTTCTTTGAAATATAAAGTATAAAACAAACAGCCGCCAGCTTGGATACACGTTTATTGTGACCGTCCATCGAAGGAGTTCCGTTTAAACGAACGCGGATTCGATCGCCTGGAACACCCGAGCCGACTTCGACCATAACGATCACTTCTAAAATGATACTAGATTGCTGTATCACTGTCCTAGTTTTTAATTTATCCAGTTTTCTTCCTCTTTCTCAAACCCACTTTCCCAATCGAGTCCTTCCGCAACGGCGCTCTTTCGTCCAAGTCGTTGGCATTCCTAGAAAACGTATTCATTGATAAACAATTATATTTTAAAATAAATCTATTAAATAGAGCTATTAAATCTATTAAGTAGAGCTATTACACCTATTAAATAGAGCTATTAAATCTATTAAATAGACCTATTACATCTATTAAATCTATTAAATCTATTAAACCTATTAAACCTATTAAACCTATTAAATCTATTACATCTATTAAATCTATTAAATCTATTAAACCTATTAAATCTATTAAACCTATTAAACCTATTAAACCTATTAAATCTATTAAATCTCTTAAAATAGTTAGATTCATTACGTACAAAGCAATTCGATCGAACAGTTGTCGCGTCGACCCAAAGAGAACCACCATTAGGTCCATATGTGAACATTTTGGAAAGAAGATCGAAACTAGAATTGTTGAATATTTTGATGGAAATTCGGAAATTCTTACTTAAAATAGATAGATAGATAAATAGATCTAAATCTAATACTTAAAAGTCTTAATCTTAACACATTGACGACCGCGTATCTTTTGCGAAACGGTCGATTTAGTCAAGGGGATCAAAATGAAAAATCAAAAGCCAGAGCTTAAGCTTAGCTTAGCTTAAAAGCTCTAAAATTCGAATCCAGCCTTAAATTTACGCCAAAAAGCTCCATCTAATTTATTTTCACAATTTTAAGTCAATATAATGATTTAGGTAAACTGCAATCGGTAATTGGTGGCAAGCGGAATTGAGCCCGCGAGCAAAAGTTGACATTGGTTTCGGAGTCTAGCCCAATATCTCCTAGGCTGCTGTTGTTTTTTCCTTTCGGCGTGGTGCTCTCTTATAGGTAGCGGTTTGCCAAAAATTGCTGAAACTTTGCCGTTTTTCTCGAAAACCAGGGCTAATGAGGAAAAAATAGAAAATAGAGGTTTCTTAGAATTCTATTGTAGCATTTTGTAGCTAGATCCGGTTTCGAAAATCGGTGGTAAGTTGAAACTGTGTGGTAACAGTGGTAGATTTTCTAGTTTCTAGACCACTGGGCCATGGAATCCGAGATAACAGCCGGTTTTTCCGCTTTTTACGAAAAATCACCAAACTTCCTAACAAAACTAACGTCGGATTCGGAAAGAGGACCCAAAATTACATGCTCTTGCAAATTTTGAGCTCATTTGGTTCCAGCCATTCACGAGAAACAGCCGTCACGTGGTCCGAAAGGGGAATCGAACCAACAATTGGAGCCTGAGATATTCCCTATTGGAGCCTGAGATTGACCTCGCGCTTCTTAAACCACTTAGCTATGAAAGCCGAGGGAAAAGCCGGGAAGTGTTTCTCGTCTATATGAGATCTAAATCCATTTTCTTAAAACAAAACGAACAGCGGTTTTCTCAATGAGTGCCCACATTGGAGATGACATTGTTGCCATAACATTTCAACTTCGCCTTCAACAAGCACATATCTGAAATGATTAGTACTAGATAAATCTAACGCTTAAATAGTATTTAAATTCAATTTCTATTGGGTTGTCCAGTTATGGATGCGTGTTTTTTTACTATTTTGTAAATTTCTCATAATACCGAAATCAAGAAAAAGATATATATGAGTATTATTCGAAAGCTGAAGATCTCCTCTATATTTTGATCTAAAAAGTTTTTGAATTTGTTCAGCTTTTGGGCAAATTGACTGCACAGAAGAAGGGGTGGCCAAAAAAAAATGGAAGGGTGCCTTTGGATCAAGTTTTGGCTCCGCTCAAATTGAGTTAACCGTTTGATGTTTGACCAATAGATATATCAATACAACTTTTTTTTAAATGTAAGAATTTCAGAGCATCTTTACTTTTCTTTTCTGGGCGGTTATTTTACAGCATAAAACTTGAGGAATAGCTAAGCTGAAATGGGTTTTTTCGAAAACGACTTCTCCCTTTGTGCAGTCAATTTCCCAAAAAGTTGAATGAATTCAAAAACTTTTTATTCCAAAATGTAGAGGAGATCTTCAGCTTTCGAAATGATATATAACACTCATATACATCTGTTCGATATCTTGAGAAATTTACAAAATAGTAAAAACGCGCATTCATAATTGGACAACCCAATATAACGGAATATTTCTAGCCTTTTTGTACCTCTCTTCCCCGTTTCTCCGCACTGACAGAAGCCCATTCCGATAGAAATAATCTGTCCTAAAGAAATTTTCAATTAAATTTTAATAGATTTAGATATTTCATAAGTACTTACTTGGTTTTTGACGAATTCCTCCCGAAATTGCGTACGATTTTCTCATAGTTCTCCACTCGCATTCCTCCATAAGGAGCGCCTTTCTAAAAATAGATAGGTAAAATGTAAATTGAATGTCAAATAGATGTCAAAATTGAAAAATTTCGACAAGTTACAATACTTCTATTTGATTTAAAGTATTATAATGTTAAGAATTTAGATCCTGCATGCCAAAATAAACTAAAAAAATAAATAATTCACCTCTGTTAGCTGATTGATCCCATTCTCGTCTTCAGATTCATCCGATTCATCCGCACGATCCCAAGAAAATGTCGGAGACAAAAGAGAAATTGAGGCATCTAAAGGTAAAGATTGAATCTAGATTATCATCGTCTAAAATATATTTTTCAATCACCAACCATCATTTCCTTTTACTTTACAAGGAGTCTTTATTATCGTTTCATCCTTGATGCTCACAGAGTCCATAAGAGGAAAAGATCAATAATCAGCAATTAGCAATAAGTAAGATCAATAATAGCAATTGAATTTAAATATTAATTGCTTAGAGACTAAAATTATTGCCTTGCTGAAGAACAAAGCGTTACCCAAGAGAAAACGAGACAAAACAAATGACACCCGAGAAGGCTTGGAAAGGGAAAGGCTTTAGGCAGAAGGATTTGAGCGAAGAGTTATTCTAAAGGCACTTTTCCATCCCAGACAAGGCAAGGACATGACTTAGTTTTACTACAGGATGATGCATAACTACGGTAACACGCTTTTTTTGTAAATATCTCGGCAATTCTTCGAGCGATTCTCGGGACCTAGGCAAAATAGCGTCGCCAAAACAGCGCCGTTTAAAACAACGTCATTCAAAACAGCGCCATTTAAAACAACGTCATTCAAAACAACGCCATTTAAAACAACGCCAAAGCGCCAAAACAGCGCCATTTAAAACAACGCCATTTAAAACAACGCCATTCAAAACAACGCCATTTAAAACAACGCCATTCAAAACAACGTCATTCAAAACAACGTCATTCAAAACAACGCCAAAGCGCCAAAACAGCGCTATTTAAAACAGCGCCATTTAAAACAACGTCATTCAAAACAACGCCAAAGCGCCAAAACAGCGCTATTTAAAACAGCGCCATTTAAAACAACGTCATTCAAAACAACGCCAAAGCGCCAAAAAGACTGCGATTAGATTTTTCAACTCCAATGTTTTTATACTTCTCATAGCAACTTGTAACTTTTGTTATTTTAAAAACATTTTGGTACTATAGTAGTTGGGATGGGCAGTTTGTAAACATCGGTTTTTCCAATTTGCCACTAGTTTTAAAAAGTTTTTCTGGGATAATTACTTGCACTGAATCCATTAGAAGCATTTACAAACCATTCTGAACAACTTTTATGCCAGTTTGAGCAACATTTCCGAGCCTTCCACTGGGTTTAGAGGTGCGCGACCGAATGAAGAGGCTTAAAACCGAAGTAACTGCCTGAAATAGCAAGAAAACAGCCACTAAAGCTTAACTTAATACTAAATTATGAATCTACGGCATTAAAAAGCCCCAAAAGCAAAAATTGGTACGCTCTGGCTCAATAGAGAATGTACACTGTCCCCCCAACTACTATAGCACCGCATTTTAAATAAACAATGCAGCACATTTTGTTTTTCATCGTTTTTTTTTTGGTTTTACTGTTCTTGGCACTAAATTTTGTGTTTTTCAGAAAGAACGTTTCAAAAAGAACTAAAAAATATAAAGTAAAAGGGTCGCTGCACTTGCAACGACCCTTTTACTCTTCAACGACAATGAAGAACAAAATGTGTCACATTCTTTATTTAAAATAGGCGATAAAACATGATTCTGATGATGAAATAATCCGTCGGTTTGTCAAAACACGCGCAAGATGCTTAAAAATGTTTTTAAAATAGCAAAAGTTACAAGTTGTTATGAGAAGTATAAAAACATTGAAGTTGAAAAATCTAATCGCAGTCTTTTTCAATTTGACGCTGTTTTGAATGACTTTATTTTGAATGACGTTGTTTTAAACGGCGCTTTTTTAAAAGGCGCTGTTTTAAACGCCGCTGTTTTAAATAGCGTTGTTTCAAACGGCGCTGTTTTAAATAGCGCTGTTTTGGTCGCGCTATTTTAACTAGGTCATGTTAAAACGTTGTTTTTCCTATCGGATAAAGAACTAACAGACGAAAAATTACCGGGAAACGAGTTAGGCTCTATGGAATCCCAAAAAAAGCTGACCTCATTCTGGGTGTTTCATTTTTTTCGTTCTTTTCTTCAATTCTTCTTTCTTCACTTCTTTCTCTAAACCATAACAATTAACAATTAACAATGACAGGTTCGCCGAGCTTTTTCGCAATTTTTTTGTTTTCTTCTTGCCTTATCTAACTTATCAAAACTAATTTGCTTTTTATTATAAATTACTAGTGTGCTTTTTCTTGAATTCACGTGGCTAGACCTTTGCTTTTGCTTGAATGAATTGTAAAACCAAGTTTATTCAATCCACGTGGGGTAAAGCATTTGAAAATGTATAATGAAGCTCAAAGAAACTCAGAAAGAGCTGTTGAACTGTCAGAAGAGAACGTGTTTCCAAGTCCCTTGTAGCGTTTAGCGTTTAGTGTTCCAAGCTCCTTGTAGCATTTAGCGTTTAGTGTTCCAAGCTCCTTGTAGCGTTTAGCGTTTAGTGTTCCAAGCTCCTTGTAGCGTTTAGCGTTTAGTGTTCCAAGCTCCTTGTAGCGTTTAACGTTTAGTGTTCCAAGCTCCTCATAGCGTTTAGCGTTTAGTGTTCCAAGCTCCTCATAGCGTTTAGTGTTCCAAGCTCCTCGTAGCGTTTAGCGTTTAGTGTTCTAAGCTTCCTTGTAGCGTTTTGCATCATAGACCGTGCTTTGCTTGTAGTCGTTTGAACAATGTTAACTGGCTTGATCCCACATTTGAACATCTCGATCGATCCTTATCTTTTCCATTAGCAAACGGCAAACCCTAAAAACCAGAATTGATTCTTTTTCAAAACAAAAATACATTAGAAAATATGATTGAAAGAGTTTATATTCAAAATTGGCTAAATTTTGGGTTGTTTTGGTTTTTTTTTGGCTTTTTTGTGTTGCTGTTGTTGCTGTTGTTGTTGTTGTTGTTGTTGTTGCTGTTGTCGTTGTTGTTGTTGTGTGTGTTGTTTGTTGTTGTTGCTGTTGTTGCTGTTGTGTTGTTGGTGTTTTGCGTGTTGTTGTTGTTGCTGTTGCTTTGTTGCTGTTGGGTTGTTGCTGTTGTTGTTGTTGTTTTTGCTGTTTTGCTGTTGTGGTTGTGGTGTTTGTTGTTGTTGCTGTTGTTGTGTTGTTGTTTGTTGCTGGTTGTTGTTGTTGTTGTTGTTGTTGTTGCTGTTGTTGCTGTTGTTGCTGTTGTTGCTGTTGTTGTTGTTGCTGTTGTTGTTGTTGCTGTTGTTGTTGTTGCTGTTGTTGTTGTTGCTGTTGTTGTTGTTGCTCTATTTCAATTTTGACTAAAATTTATTACGCCAACATCGATAAAAAGAAATTGGGTGAACAAATGAACGAAAAAAATGAAAGAATGAACAAAATTGTATGCTTATTTTGGTTCCTGAACGGCTGGCGGAACGACGGGATCGTTGGCGTCGTGGGTGTACATTGGATTATCGTGGGTTCCTGGAAATCATTTATTTAAGAAAAGAAAGTTAATCATTTCTTTTATTAGAATGGTTTAAAATAAAGGATTTTGCTGATTTTGCTGATTTAATCGTTAAATTTGTCATTCAATTTCAATTTCAATTAATTTAACACTTCTCTCACCATCAATCATTCCAATTGCGGCCATTTTTCGTTTGCGGCGATGCTCTTGCATCAAACGAGTATTTTCCTAGAGTTAAAATTGAGTATGCGATTAAAAATTGAGTAAATTAGTAAGATTTCATTAAGAAGCACTAGATTAACATAAATAAACACTAACAATAACATAAATAAACACTACATTAACATTAATAAACACTACAATAACATAAATAAACACTTTCCAAACCTTTTGCTTTGCCATTTCCCTCTCAATATTCTCGATTTCGGTTTTTCGTTGCTTATGCGTTGTGCAATAACAGAAAATCAAAAGAAGAAGAGTCAAAAATTCAATCACTAAAAGGAAATCATTAGATATTGAAATCATAAGCATAAATCAATTTATCTATTCATTTTAGTTATCTAATAGATGAAGATCTAATAGATGAAGATCTAATAGATGAAGATCTATAATTGATGAAGATCTAATAGATGAAGATCTAATAGATGAAGATCTAATAGATGAGACTAATAGATGAAGACAATTGATGAAGACTAATAGATGAAGACTAATAGATGAAGGCAATAGATGAAGACAATAGAGAAGACTAATTGATGAAGACTAATAGATGAAGGCTAATAGATGAAGACTAATAGATGAAGACAATTGATGAAGATCTAATAGATGAAGGTCTAATAGATGAAGATCAATAGATGAAGATCAATTGATGAAGATCTAATAGATGAAGATCTAATAGATGAAGACTAATTGAGAGACTATAGATGAAGTCTAATAGATGAGATCTAATGATGACTGGAAGACTAATAGATGAAGATCTAATAGATGAAGGTCTAATAGATGAAGATCTAATAGATGAAGATCTAATTGATGAAGATCTAATAGATGAAGATCTAATAGATGAAGATCTAATAGATGAAGATCTAATAGATAAATATGCTTAAAGTGTGTTTCTCGTGATTAAAGAATTAAGTGAATAGATTTGCGTATAATAGAAAATGTTTTTCAATGATTAAAAGTCACCCGTATTCTCTCTAATAGTTGGCTGAGTCGAGTTGATGACTATTTTACAGTTTCCAAGCTTTTACAGAAGCTCATCACTCTAATCCCCCACTAGATCTCATCGTCAGCTACATTTTCCGACCCCACATCGATAGGTTCTGATAAGCGCTTCTCGAGATTTCGAGGAATTTAGGCGACGCTCATAGTGCACTAGACAAAGCTCATAGTGCTCATAGTGCACTACGGTAATCAAGTTTTGTCTTACAAGGGATGTGATGACCAAATGAACTAAATGTGATGACCAAATGACATGTACCATTGGTTATTTGACGCAGAATTTCACGCTGATTTCGAATCTGCTTCCCATTTTTCCTATAGAGCACTCTATCAAAAGCTATAAGCGTTTTTCCTATAGAGCACTCTATCTAAGCCTTCAAAATTTTGTATAGGATTCAAAAATCACCGTTTATATGCAGATTTTCCAGAGAGCTATCATTAAAATCCATTGCGTCTTGATCACTCTGGGAAATCTGCTTGTAAACTGTGATTTTTGAATCCTATACACTTTGCACGCTTATAACTTTTGACAGAGTGCTCCAGAAATGGAAAGCTATTTTGTTGTTTTCTGTTTACTGCGCTGTTTACTGCGCTGTTTGCTAAGCTGTTTGCTAAGCTGTTTGCTGTGCTGTTTGCTGTGCTGTTTGCTACGCTGTTTACTGCGTTGTTTTCTGCGCTGTTTGCTACGCTATTTGCTGTGCTGTTTGCTACGCTGTTTTCTGCGCTGTTTGCTACGCTGTTTGCTGCGCTGCTTGTTGCGCTGTTTGCTAAGCTGTTTACTGCGCGGCTTGTTGCGCTGTTTGCTAAGCTGTTTGCTGCGCTGCTTTCTGCGTTGTTTGCTAAGCTGTTTGCTGCGCTGCTTTCGGCGTTGTTTACTGGGTTGTTTGCTACGCTGTTTGCTACGCTATTTGCTACGCTATTTGCTGCGCTGTTTGCTGTGCTGTTTTGTTCAGTTCCCAGAAAATATGCGGGATACTTCGAAAAAAACAGGCAAATGATGAATTAGCATAAAACAAATTAGTTTAAATTAGCATAAAACAAATTTACAGAACTACGATAGCTTTTTTTAAAGCGCATGCTTTAGAAAGCACACAAGGAATATTGCTATTTGCTAGATCTAGATTGCTATTTGCTAGATCTAGATTTGCTTATTGTAACGCAAAGTCCACCGATCACTCACCCGAAATGATACTCATTCCCAAGAAAAGACCCACTTGACCGCCGATATCAGAGATCAAATTGACAAACTAAAAGAGATCAGAAATCAGATCAGAGACCACATAAAATCTTTTATAAGCAAACCGAATAAGCTGGACTTTCCGTCAACACTTGGTAGTTCATTCGCTCGTAGTAGATCTGAAACAAGTCTGATTAGCTTTCAACCCGAGCATGAAGTCAGGGAAGCGCATTGTAAGCGCCCGGCCAAGCGAAACTAGTCTAGCGTTTTTCTTGACACTGGTTTAAGCTACAATGCGCGCTTTGGTATCAAAAAATAGCTGAGATTCAGGGCTATTTTTTGATATTAAAAAGGAATTTTTTGAAAGTACGGGCGTTGAAAAAAATGAAATACTAAAAAACGTAACTGTACGAGGGCTGTAGGGGTACTTTTATAGTATTTACGGTAGATTATTCTTATTGTTACTTTTATTTACGGTAGATTAATTGTTATTTTACAAAAGAAAGTACGAAAAGACTTTCTGGAAAGTCTAAATTTATCCGTTTTCCTCACAAACCTCAATGAGAGCCGTATTTTGTCCATACCATGCCACACACTCCATATTCTCAGCTGCCCAAGGCTGGGTGGTTGCATTCTCAGGCTCGTTGCATTCAGATGGCTAAAATACTTTGTTTTCTATGTTTTGCAAAGTGTCTGGGTCTAGTTCTAGTCTTCTAGGGTGTCCCACAATTATCGTGACAAAATATCAACAAAAGTCTATCGACGGAGACAATTGATTTGTGGGCTTTAGTAAATGCCTTGCGTTCAAGAATCGACCATATTGAGTAATCTAAGGGATTGAGATTGGGCGAGTTTGATGGCCATTCGTCTGGGCTTTGTTGACTGATGTCCACGGTGATGCAATCTGGGAAGTTGTTGCTGTTGCTGTTGTTGCTGTTGCTGTTGCTGTTGCTGTTGTTGCAGTTACTGTTGCTGTTGTTGCTGTTGCTGTTGCTGTTGTTGCTGTTGCTGTTGCTGTTGTTGCAGCATATCGACGTAAACTTTCTTTCAAGCATATTGATGTAAATTTTCTTGTCAATTTTGACTCCAGCGAGAATGAAGATCATCGTCTTTCATCGACACTGCAACTATGATTTGTTGAGGTTTTTGTTGTCTTGAAACAATTCTGTCGTCTAACGGAAAAGGTTTGTTGGACCTATTCCGTTCAATCGGTCGTTCCATCGGTCGTTCAATCGGTCGTTCAATCGGTCGTTCAATCGGTCGTTCAATCGGTCGTTCAATCGGTCGTTCAATCGATCCTTCAATCGGTCGTTCAATCGATCCTTCAATCGGTCGTTCAATCGATCCTTCAATCGGTCGTTCAATCGATCCTTCAATCGGTCGTTCAATCGATCCTTCAATCGGTCCTTCAATCGGTCGTTCGATCGTTTAATCGTTCTAAAAGCAGTTCAACGTAGTGCGCGTCACCATAATTGTGATACACCCTGTATATGACTTGTTATCTATAGCGCTTTCCAGCTATCTTTACTGACAGTGTATTGGTTCGATGGCCAGGCGGCTGTTGACACGGTGACACTGTACGACTCGACACTAAAATGTAAATTGAAATCATTGAAATCAAAGTCATATTCAGCTTACATGCATGGTTGTGGACAATCACATTGAGTGATCAAATTGAAATCGTTTGGACCGGTGCCCGGATTTGTGAAAGCATTGATGCATTCGATCGCCTTGTCTGGAAAAGGATTTGATTTGGTATTGAATTGAATTGAATTGAATTGAATCCTTTATCGTTTCTTTATAGTTCCTTTATAGTTCCTATTTAGTTCCTTTAAAGCTCCTTTAAAGCTCCTTTCCAGCTCCTTTAAAGCTCCTTTCCAGCTCCATTAAATCTCCTTTAAATCTCCTTTCCAGCTCCATTAAATCTCCTTTAAATCTCCTTTAAATCTCCTTTAAAGCTCCGTACTTGTAAATGCGGCTGTTGTATTGTCAACGGGATTCTTGTAACAACTCTCAACTTGTAGAGCTTCAAAAGCGTACGCTGGATCGTAGCAACCACACTTGTTGACAATGTTTTCTTGAAGGCACGCACGAAGGCAAGCTTCTGTCTAAACAAAAAGTGTGATTTGAAGGACTCGTTTGCAGCCATGTTAGCATGATCTTTTTATGTCTTCTAAAAAGCAAACCGCGTAAGTTCCATTGTAATATGTGCTCGCGACTTCGGTCTCCGTTGTACAATCTCCATAAGGAGTTGGCAAACGAGTTGTGGACACAAAACGGACTCCTAAATATATAAATTTAAATCTCCACACAAATCTCGATACCAAAAGTCTCGATTGCAAAAAAACCTCGTTAAAAAGCAGACTTTAAAAAAACAGAAAAAAGACTTCAGCTTTTAAACTTACAGTAATCCAAAGTTCACTACAGTTCCTAGAGATTTACTGTAGCTAGGACTTGAATTTACGGAATTAAAACCAGAAACCAGAAATCACCAGTGTATAATCATAAATCTAAGCCTGATATATAGCCTGATATTTAAACAAACCCATAGATGAAGCGGTTCCCGGTGGTGCATAATATCCAGTGACATCAGGAAACGGGTGTTCAGTCTAGAATTTTGATTATTATTGTTTATTATTGATTATTATTGATTATTATTGATTATTATTGATTATTATTGATTATTATTGTTTATTATTGATTATTATTGATTATTATTGTTTATTATTGATTATTATTGGTTATTATTGTTTATTATTGATTATTATTGTTTATTATTGATTATTATTGTTTATTATTGTTTATTATTGGTTATTATTGGTTATTATTGATTATTATTGGTTATTATTGATTATTATTGGTTATTATTGGTTATTATTGTTTATTATTGTTTATTATTGGTTATTATTGGTTATTATTGATTATTATTGTTTATTATTGATTATTATTGTTTATTATTGATTATTATTGGTTATTATTGATTATTATTGATTATTATTGTTTATTATTGATTATTATTGGTTATTATTGGTTATTATTGATTATTATTGTTTATTATTGATTATTATTGTTTATTATTGATTATTATTGTTTATTATTGTTTATTATTGATTATTATTGGTTATTATTGATTATTATTGATTATTATTGTTTATTATTGATTATTATTGATTATTATTGATTATTATTGTTTATTATTGATTATTATTGTTTATTATTGTTTATTATTGATTATTATTGATTATTATTGTTTATTATTGATTATTATTGTTTATTATTGATTATTATTGGTTATTATTGATCTATTAGGTTGTTCGGATATAAACAAGCGTTGCTAAATTTATTGTTGTGAGAGAAGTTTTTAAAACATGTCTTTCTTTATTTAAAAGTACGTTGTAGATTTGGAATATTTTTAAACGGATAATTTCTTATTTTTAAGATCTTTTTTCTTGCTTTAGATGACCGACTTCAAATACTTCAACTTCAAGTTTGCGTCTGCCTACTTTACGACTTCAAACTGGGCAAAATAGTCGCAGAATCACATCGAGATTTGGTCAAAGCATTTGGGAATGATGTATTGTTCGAAAGTTGATGCCGAGCCTAGGTTCCAGACGAGCCTAGGTTCCAGACGAGCCTAGGTTCCAGACGAGCCTAGGTTCCAGACGAGCCTAGGTTCCAGACGAGCCTAGGTTCCAGACGAGCCTAGGTTCCAGACGAGCCTAGGTTCCAGACGAGCCTAGGTTCCAGACGAGCCTAGGTTCCAGACGAGCCTAGGTTCCAGACGAGCCTAGGTTCCAGACGAGCCTAGGTTCCAGACGAGCCGAGCCTTTCGGAATGGTGATGAAAGTCTCGAGGATGATGAACACTCTCGTCAAGAATATCGTTGTCTACCTCAAGCGGTAGACAAGGATATTTTGAGGGCTGCAATCGAATCGGATCCATGTCAAACGACGCATGAACCTGCTCAACAGTTTCTATGTTAAAATTCTATTATTGATGAGCATCTCCACCCCATTGGAAAGGCGATCAGATGCGGGAAATGGCTTCCTCATGAGTTAAGCAGTGCAAACGCTCGTTTATATCCGAAAAACCTAATAGATAAGCTCACAAGTAAAGCCTAATTATAAATAACCTGGTCCTAGCCTGGTCCTAGCCTGGTCCTAGCCTATAATTATTATCTAGAATTATTATCCAAATGTCTCTGAGATTGAATTCTAGCATTCTGAATTCTCTGAATTCTAATATTCTGAATTCTCTGTATTCTAGTATTCTGAATTCTCTTTCTTTTGAAGTATTGCTTTAGTAAATTTCGAAAAACCATTCCATGAATGACGCAAAAACCCGAAAAACCAGTGAACCAGTGAACTAACCATTCCATGAATGACGACAACCATCCCCGAAGCCTCAGTCCACGGCAGGTATTGCTGTTGATTTGTTCTGAGCTTTGATTTTAGAAAATAAAACGATCTTTCTATTATCTAGACAACTAGATCTTTCCATTATCTAGACATTAAATAATCGATCGAAATTTCCTCACTTAAACACCATTCGTAAACCGTAAAGCGGCCCAGCTCGAGACGAGGTTTTTGGGGGTTCCGGCAGATTATTAAAATTAAATTGCTGACAATTTCCATAGTTTGGATCGAAAACGGTGTCAAAATCGCTGAAAAGTCATTTTTCTATATTATCCGATTTCTTCTTACGATGCATTGCATGTTTGAGCGTTGTACGTGCAAGAAATCACCAAATCGTCATAAGTGTACGCGTGGCCTTCACCCTGGAAAAGATTAGAGATTCTATCTCAGTTCGGTAGTGATCCAGATGATTCGGATGATGATAATTAGCACAAAGTGATAATTATCCAATGAAAATCAAGAATATCAATCAAAGATATCAATTAAGATATCAATTAAGATATCAATTAAGATATCAATTAAGATATCAATTAAGATATCAATTAAGATATCAATTAAGATATCAATTAAGATATCAATTAAGATATCAATTAAGATATCAATTAAGATATCAATTAAGATATCAATTAAGATATCAATTAAGATATCAATTAAGATATCAATTAAGATATCAATCAAAACTTACAACTGGGTCATTGATAATCGTTTCGCTCATCATCGTCGTATAGGTGACGGCTCGTTGCTGACGATCGCCTGTAAGTTGGGTAATTGAACCAGATCTAGGAATTAAACTAGTAATCTAGTAATTAAACTAGTAATCTAGTAATTGAGCCAGTAGATCTAGTAATTAAACTAGTAGATCTAGTAATTGAGCCAGTAGATCTAGTAATTAAACCGGATTTGCAAGATTGAAATCATCTTATCATCTTACAATCAATCTACAACCAACCAATTCTACAACCAATCAATCTACAACGAATCAATCTACAACGAATCAATCTACAACCAACCAATTCTACAACCAATCAATCTACAACCAATCAATCTTACAATCAATTTTACAATCGATCTACAATCAATCTACAACCAACCAACCAATCTTTCAATCAATTTCTCCACTCACCAGTGAGCCCAGCCGAGAATTCGTAGTTGCTACTTGCCGAGTATCCATCGTAAGAATTACCATATGCCGTGATCTATAATTTTAAATTAATTAAATTATGAGAGGGAACGTTTTTAGAGAAAGAAAAATGCGTAAAAACTCATCAGACCGTAAAGCTTTACTGTCTGATGTCTGCACCCACTTTACTGTCTAGAGTCAAAATAGAATTTGAAACACAACTTGAATCGAATTATCCTTTCAAATTTTCATTTTCCACCACACTCGATGGCCTTTACTTTGATTTTTACATTGTATTGCATTTTTTTTATATTGTATTACATAATTTCCTTTTCATTTACTAATGTTTTTCTTTAGGAATGCGAGTGGTCTATCTCGTGCATCTGTCAATCTAAATGTGTGGCTCCGAATCTTTAGCTGAACGAATTGAGAGAGTTCAACTTTATTCTGACGAATTGAGGGAGTTCGGCTTTATTCCCGCGAACGGCAAATTGAAATTTGATCAATGTGGTAGCAATTTCGAATTATGTTCTGACGCTTCTCGCCAAGATTCCATTAGTCACTAATGTCACTGATGGAATGTTTTTCTTTAGGGATGCGCGTGGTCGATCTCGTGCGTCGGTCAATCCGAATGTGTGGCTTTGAATGTGTGGCTGTGTGGCTTTGAATGTGTGGCTCTGAATGTGTGACTCCGAATGTGTGACTCCGAATGTGTGGCTTTGAATGTGTGGCTCCGAATGTGTGGCTCCGAATGTGTGGCTCCGAATGTGGGGCTCCGAATGTGTGGCTCCGAATGTGTGGCTTCGAATGTGTGGCTTCGAATGTGTGGCTCCGAATGTGTGGCTTCGAATGTGTGGCTTCGAATGTGTGGCTTCGAATGTGTGGCTCCGAATGTGTGGCTTCGAATGTGTGGCTTCGAATGTGTGGCTCCGAATGTGTGGCTCCGAATGTGTGGCTCCGAATGTGTGGCTCCGAATGTGTGGCTCCGAATGTGTGGCTCCGAATGTGTGGCTCCGAATGTGTGGCTCCGAATGTGTGGCTCTGAATGTGTGGCTCCAGATGTGTGGCTCCGAATTTGTGGCTCCGAATGTGTGGCTCCGAATGTGTGGCTCTGAATGTGTGGCTCCGAATGTGTGGCTCAACGAATTGAGTTGAGAGAGTTCAGCTTTATTCCGACGAATTGAAATGTGATCAATGTGGTGGCAATTTCGAATTATGTTCTGACGCTTCTCGCAAGATGGTTACCGATGGAAATGCTAAGGATATCGACTAGTTCATTTTTGTTATTTGATTTGAGTTTATAGTTAAATATTTATTGCTTTAAAATCGTTTATTGTTTATTTTAAAATCACTAAAACGAAACTGATGTTTTTTTGTGCATTCTGGCTGACATTCTGGCATTCTGGCTAACGTAAAAACCACGTTTCATTGGAAATCTCGATCAGACCGAATTTTGCCGAATTTGATGATATAGTTAAGATAATTTAGATAAGATAATTCAACTATATCTTTAGATCTAATATTCTAATCTAATATTCTAATCTAATATTCTATCAATCATTTCCTTAACAACAAACCAAATCCGAAATATCCACGAGCGTTCCCTTGGATCCCATTTGTTTCCACGGATTCAAGTGACAGATCGTGACAGTTGGGAAAACTCGCTCCGAGAATTGCAACTGAAGTTTAGAAACTGCTAATTTGCAAATCGAATACTCACAGCTGTTTCCGTGTTCACTTGATACGCGAAATACTTTCTCAACAATGTCTCGAGTTGAAAGAGAAAACCGCAAAAGCAAGCGACGACAACAAAGATCCAGAAGAATCTGAAGGAAAGTTGAGTTTGGTTGGGAGTAAGCCAAGCTAGGGTTACTATAGGATACTGTAGATCTAAGCTAGGCTGAGCTGGCTTCTGGTAAGTCTGGGTAATCCTAGATAAGCCTAGGTCAGTCTAGGTAAGCCTAGGTCAGTCTAGGTAAGCCTAGGTGGCCTAGGTGGCCTAGGTGGGCTAGGTGACCTAGGTAAGCCTAGGTAAGCCTAGGTGGCCTAGATAAGCTTAGATAAGCTTAGATAGGCCTAGGTAAGCCTAGGTAATTCTAGGTGGCCTAGGTAAGCCTAGGTAATTCTAGGTGGCCTAGGTGGCCCAGATAAGCCTAGGTAAGCCTAGGAAAGCTTAGGTGGCCTAGGTGGCCCAGATAAGCCTAGGTAAGCCTAGGTAAGCCTAGGTGGCCTAGATAAGCCTAGGTAAGCCTAAGTGGCTTAGATAAGCCTATGTAAGCCTAGCCTAGGCCAAAAGCCTAGCCTAGGCCAAAAGCCTAGCCTAGGCCAAAAGCCTAGCCTAGGCCAAAAGCCTAGCCTAGGCCAAAAGCCTAGCCTAGGCCAAAAGCCTAGCCTAGGCCAAAAGCCTATATAAGCCTAGCCTAGGCTAAAAGCCTCTTCCGCCTTTTTCCGAAGAGGCCCTCTTCCGCCAAGACAAGCTCGATTTTTACCTCAACCATTGCGAGTTCGCCATCCCAATATGCGGTATTCCATGAGTGGATGTCCAACAGGAGAAATCCCTGCACAGAAAAGCCAATCCTTTGCCAAAGACGCCCATCGTTGAAAGAGTTACCCTGTAAAGTGGCAGAGATTAGTAAAGAACGGATACAATAATGAAATTCAACGCTCTAGTTTCCGTTTGTTCAAACAATTTCCCAACTTTCCGCAAAATTTTCCCCTTTTTGTTGCTACGGTCTTTTTTTTGTCAATGAATTCTTTATCTTTCACTGTTTTTTTGACATGACAACGAGCCGCTGAACAAAAGATTTGAATTCTGAGTTCTGAATTCGAAATTCGAGACTTTTCGAGTCTTTTCGAGACTTTTTGACGCGTTCGATGCAAGATGACAAGAAAAATAACTTAAAGAATACTTTAAATGTACCTAAAGAATACTTTAAATGTACCTAAAGAACAAAAGAGACTTAATAAAGAGACTTTTGCTCATTCTTTTGATAAAAAAATGAACTATTCAAGAAATGAAGAACAGAATTGTTATCGAAATTCGAAATTATCGAAATTCTTATCTTTATCTAAAAATCTAAAATTGCTCAAAATTGGCCTGTGTCCTGTGGCCATGTTGGACTCAAAATTAGACTCAAAATTGGACTCAATATTGTCATTTTCTCTATAGCAAAAGACCCTCACACTTTTTTGTCTTTTTTTTTGTCTTTTCCAGGCTATTTTCCCTTGATTTATCCAAATCCCCAAGTCGAATTAGTTGAGAAGACAAAAATAGGAAAAACGAGGAATTTTTCGGTTTTACCAGATTTTCAGATTTTCAGATTCACGTAAACAGTCCTCGATATTTTATTCATTTTCTTTTTTTAAATAATTGCTATTCTTATATGTTGAATAAAGATATTTAAGTTAACTTTTCGAGATCGGTTGCATATTTGGTTTGATTTATTTGGTTAAAAGCCAGGCTGCGGTAATTCTTCTTTCACCCTGTAGACTATTTCCTGCACCTGCCTGTTCTTTCCTGTTTTTGCAATAAAAAAATCGAGTAACACATAAAAAGTTGACCTTTTGAGAAAGCTATTAAACCAAGAAACGACAAAAATTGCAAAATTTTGATGGCTGAAGTCGAAGTCGAAAATAAATGTTTATAATTATTTCACGTTTGTTATGCAACCACTTCGTTCACTGCTGTTATGCTAGATTTATGTTATAAAATAAATATATTTAATTTCTATCTTTGTTATATGCTATCCGTATTAGATCAATAAAAGGACCGTATTGGAACCGTATTGGAACCGTATTAGATCAAAAAAGAACCGTATTGGAACCGTATTGGAACTGTATTAGATCAAAAAAAGAACCGTATTGGAACCGTATTGGAACCGGATTGGAGTAGGATTGGAACCGGATTGGAGTAGGATTGGAACCGTATTAGAACGGTATTAGATCAAAAAAAGAACCGTATTGGAACCGTGTTGGAACCGGATTGGAGTAGGATTGGAACCGTATTGGAACCGTATTAGATCAAAAAAAGAACCGTATTGGAACTGTATTAGATCAAAAAAAGAACCGTATTGGAACCGTATTGGAACCGGATTGGAGTAGGATTGGAACCGTATTGAAACCGTATTAGATCAAAAAAAGAACCGTATTGGAACCGCATTGGAACCGTATTAGATCAAAAAAAGAACCGTATTGGAACCGTGTTGGAACCGGATTGGAGTAGGATTGGAACCGTATTGGAACCGTATTAGATCAATAAAAGAACCGTATTGGAACCGTATTAGATCAATAAAAGGACCGTATTGGAACCGTATTAGATCAAAAAGAGAACCGTATTGGAACCGTATTGGAAGCTATTAGATCAGAGGATGAACCCTATACCATAAGCGGGTGCGTTGTTTCTGACTTTCTTACAGCAATTCTAACTTCCTTTGAGATTATTTTTCTTGCCGTTAATTTAATAAAGATTTAGATAGCTTAGAACGGCAGCTTTCAGAAACTATTTGTTTTATCAAAAGTTGTTAACAAAAACCTACCGTAAATACTGTAATAGTGACGTCCATTTAAATAAGGGTTTTTTTGAAAGAAAACCGACTTAATGCCAAAATAAAAGATATGCATAAAATATGAATTTTATATTGTAAAACAAATTTCAGCTCATTTCGTTTAGAAGAAATTTTTTATATAAGTCCAAAGTTAGGACCTAAAAATTTCTTAAAATCGCTATAAAAAATTTCCCACTAAACCAAAAAAGCTGTGAAATGGCTCATTTTGTTGCAAATTTTACGTAGAAAATTTTACGAACCGTGCCTCGAACCGTGCCTCGAACCGTGCTCGTAATCTTCCAAAGCCTCGTCCCCCTCTCGGAATCGTTGAAACCAAGTCTAACACTGCCTGAGAGACAAACTGCCAGAGACAAACATCTCCGAAAGCAGCACTGAGAGAACGATGCGATTCGGCAGCAGACTTGGTTCCTTTTTTCTACGAATTTGGTCCTCTTTTCTCTTTTGGTTCCTTGCGTGACAACGATGCGATTCGGCAGCAGACTTTCCAATTTTGAAGTTAAACAGTAATGCTGCTCGTAGCACAAACTTTTGCTCGACCATGATCTAAATAAAAAATATAAGCATTTATAAATAAAATAAACAACAACCAAAAAATTCAAATGTCGAAATAAATAGCAAACAAATATGCGAACAAAACAATAAAAAAAAAATAATGCCGTTAACATCGCTTGTTTTTGATAAATGAGAGCTGATACCCATCGGCAGCTTCTTTTGCACCACCCTAATATTACAGTATTTACGGTAAACAAATTAAATCAACTGAAAAACTCTAGGAAACTGAACGTGATTGCCTTTCAATTGCTTATTAGCTTGCTTATTAGCTTATTAATTGAATAGCTTTAACAGCTTTAAATTACTCAGAGAGTTAACTGAATATCGTAAAATATCAGTCAGTTCAAAGTATTCTGTTTCTTTTTCTTTTTCTTTTTTCTTCTCCAATTCATTGCAATGAATTTTTGAGACAGCATAAAAAAGCGTTGATCTATAAAATAGATCTTTTTTTCTCGCCATTTATCTCAAAAATGAATAGATTCTATAGAAATAACAGGAAAAAGCCTCTTTTTTCATCTTTGAAACCAAATCCATCAAAAAAAGCGCTTGACTAGAGTCTAATCATTGACTTATTAGTCTACTTTTTGCTAATCCTGTAATGTCCTTCATTTTTTTTGTTTCCTTTTAGCTTTTGGCTCTTTAGCTCTAGCTTTTGGCTTTTTAGCTCTAGCTTTTGGCTTTTTAGCTCTTTAGCTTTTTAACTTGTTTCCTTTTAACTTTTAGCTGTTCAACTTGTTTCCTTTTAGCTTTTTAACTTGTTTCCTTTTAGCTTGTTTGCTTTTAGCTTTTAGCTCTTTAACTTGTTTCCTTTTAACTTTTAGTTCTTTAATTTGTTTCCTTTTAACTTTTAGCTTGTTTGCTTTTGGCTTTTAAACTTGTTTCCTTTTAGTTTTTAGCTCTTTAACTTGTTTCCTTTTAGCTTGTTTGCTTTTAGCTTTCAAACTTGTTTCCTTTTAGCTTTTAGCTCTTTAACTTGTTTCCTTTTAGCTTTTTAACTGGTTTGCTTCAACTTTTTAGCTTGTTTCCTTTTAACTTTTAGCTTGTTTCCTTTTAGCTTTTAAGCTTTTTTCCTTTTAGCCTTTAGCTCTTTAACTTGTTTCCTTTTAACTTTTAGCTTGTTTGCTTTTTACTTTTAGCTTTTAAACTTGTTTGCTTCTTACTACTAACTGTTGTGTAATTGAACCGGAAGCTCAGTGTGCATTGAAGTTTGATTTAGTGCTTTGAATAAGTATGAAACGTTTCCTTTACCCAATTCGCGTATTTTCTCATTTGCGTGCATTAAAACGATGAACAAGCGGCTCAATTAGCGTTTCCTTCTTTTTTCTGCTATGAGTCAGGAAAAAAAGCACAGTTTTATGATTTTCATCTCAAAAAGTATAGTGATTTAGTTTAAAGCAGTTCTTTAACCCTAGCTTTGTCTCGGTTCAATTACCCAACTCCACCTTTGCGTTTGGTTTAATTACCCAATCCTCTAGAACGGCTGTAGTTGACAGGTTCTCTCAAAGCTGGACCTAATAGTGAATGCTTTTTGAAACATATTTTCTTTTTCTTTTCTTCTTTTTCTTTTCTTCTTTTCCTTCTTCTCCTTCTTTTCCTTCTTTTCCTTCTTTTCCTTCTTTTCCTTCTTTTCCTTCTTCTCCTTCTTTTCCTTCTTCTCCTTCTTTTCTTTTCCAGCTAGTGCACGATTATTTAAAGCTGAACCTTTTAAGACAGATTTCACGGCTTTATCCTCTTTTTTTCTTAGAATCGTCTCTTGGATAACATTTTTCACGAGAATTCACTCCCCTTCCCGTCCCAACCATTCCCGGAAATGAAAAAAGGGAAAAGGCAAGAGAATTCTTGAATACCTTATGATTTTCGCCTTTTTATTACTACTTTTATGTCTAGCCTTATGAAACTGAAAGTTGATGGCGATTGTTGATGCCGAAATTTGTTTCGATCAAAAGTTGCTTGGGTAATTAAACCAGAAAGCAATTTTTTCGATTATGGAACATTTTTTTACACGCTTTGCCCCTTTGCTTGTCCGTTTTTCTTGCCCCGCCCCTTTTCCCATTAGCAATCTAACTTTGAGCTCAATTTCTTGGTAATGGACTGTTCAATTTAAATGTTCTTCGTATCGTTAGATGCGACAAGGCTTTGTTACCTTGTCATGTGTTTATTCTCTGCTCTATTTTCTTTTTTCAGTTATGGATGATCAAGAGAATCAAGAGGAGGAAGTCTCGTCTGCTCTCAAAGCTTGCCATCTCGAAGCTCACGGAGAAGATTGCCGCCAAGCTAGCCAAATCGAAGGCGACCGTTTTTTCCTTCAAGAAGAGCCTTGCAATCCAATACAAATTCAACTCTGGCGACCGAATGAAGCCTGGCTGCCGTCTCAAAAGTCCTCAAAAGCCTGGTTGCTCGCTACCGATGCCAGCCCGAAAGCTTTCGAGATTGCCGAGAAGGTGAAGATGTTTGCACAAGCTGGTGGTGACTCAACCGT